TTCCTCTTGTATGTAATTGACCTTCTTCGTTTACTGTCATCACCGGTCTTGCTATATGCCGATGATGTCAAGATATGGAGAGTGATACGAAGTAAGGGTGATAGCTTAGAACTCCGAAATTCGCACCTGATATGCCCTCATTTTTCTTGCTTACCAAAACAGAGAGTTTGTGAGGACACTTCAATAAAGTTCACAAGCCCAGAAAAAATTACTTGTCAGCTGACTATCGACTTTCCCATCGAATTATCAACTAGTGGAATTCATTACCTCAGCTTGTGGTTGAGGCTCCACCCGTAGACTCTTTCAAAGGAAATTTGAATCAACTGAGAGACTATCATCGCCAAGATTAACACAGGCCATCAAGCCTCCTGTCCTTTCCAAAATGAAACTGAAACTCATGTAGATGAGTAGTTTAATAAGTCTTTGTCAAAAGAAGAGGACTACATGATTGCGTGTGTATTACCAAATAAGCGATGCGAAGAAGAAGAGATAAAAAAAATAAAAGCGAACCAAAAAACATAATTACTGCAAGAAGATTCGACAGTAGGATAAGCGTTTGCGCAGTAATAGTTTGGAATGATGCTATGAAAATCTCTATTAATCTCAAAGGATAATCAAATATCAAATAAAATGGTTCATTTATACGTGTTGAAGATAAATTGAATCTTAAAAGTGAATTTATTAAAGTGTAACACAAGTAACATGTTTTTAGTTATAAACTTTGGATGTTTAGGGGTAATATATATTTGGGAGGAAAAAAGAGGATAAGAAGAAAAATAAGGGATGAAAAGAATATCTAATGTGTCGGATGACCAAACATGATGACAGTAACAATAATGATCATAAGTATGAATATAAGCTGTCTTCAGATATTAAAATGAATATACTTTAAGTAATCAAGTGAATAGAAAGAAAGCAAAATAAACAGGATAAGTTTCAAATGTTCTACCTTGCTTTACAGTTAGTAAGATAGATGAAGGACATTATTTGTATATATTCGTTGATAATCACATTGGCATTTATAATGTGGCACAAACCACTTTCGGAAAGTCATCAAGGCAACTTGTGAATCGGGTTATAGTTCCACTGCAATGGAGATTCATTTGTAATCTGTTCCACATGGCTGAGTAGTGAATAACGAAATATTCTGGCGTAAGTTTGTGTAGGTTCTCGGAATCGACAAAATATCCTCTTTGTTGCTGTGCGATGATATGATGGAGTACGAACAGGGTAGATGTCGAAAAGCATGGAATGTCATTTGCAATCCGGTAAATGAAGACAAAGTTCGATTTAATGCGCCTGGTTCAAAGAGGTCCTAACTCGATTTGTAGACACCTTTGGTAGTAATCCCTATTGTTGAAATACCCCATAACAGCTTTAGCGAATTTTTTTTGAATACTTTCAATTTTCATCAGGTGATTGTGTCTGCAATTACTGTAAACTAGAATACCATATTTAGGGATAGATAGGATACATTAATTGTACAATAATAATAATCTCAACTCCATGTTATCGGAATTTACCATTATGATTCCAATGAGCTTTCTTGCTTTGGATACTTGAAATGTGATGTTCTTGGGAACGTTCAAAGTGTCGCTACACCTCAAACACAAGTCTTGAACAGTGTCGAGAGGTTTCGGTGTGTGTGTGTGTGTGTGTGCGCAGAGCCAGATATAGGTTAGTGCTATATGCAAAGTAGATAAATCAACCTTTATCAACATTCGGCGCCAGATTTCACAACCCAGTCTATTGGCATAACCTGTTAATAACTCTTTGGATTGCCAGTGAAATAGTTTTTTTATAAGAGATGAGAATGAATGAACCTCTCTTGGATGATCGGCAAAATCAAAGGTTTTTCGTGCTGAAAGAGTGAGTAAACGTCATTGATGAAAATGGGAAAGAGTAATGGTTCAATCACACTTTCTTGTATAACCCGATTGGCTACACTCACAGGTTTAGAGTATCAAGATTCAAAGTAAACGAATTAACTACATTCTGTTAAACAAGATTTGAACCGTGATAAAAGGGGATTCCTTATGTTAAATGAAGAGGCTTTTGGAAGAAGAAAACTATGTTAGACAATATCGTAAGCCTTACGAAAATCGAAGTACATAATTATCACTGTCTGACCAACATCTCTTCTCTAGGTAATTTGGCCAGTAAATTTTAAGTGCGATGTGGAACATGAGCGTTCAGCCATGAACCCATCATGAGAAGACCTAATCAGTCTAGCCGAAGGTAAAAATGATGATAGCTGTTCATGGATAATTTTTCGATATGAGGGCAGTTAGCGCAATCTGCAATCACACAGCTAGAAAGACTGTTCTCTTAAATAAATTACAGGACAAGAAAAGATCATTGAAATCCCAACCTAATTACTGAAGAGAATGTGTCTCAAAAGAAAAAAGAAGATCAAGACAAAGCAAACTCCATAACAGCAGGATTGAACGAACTACACCTTAACATTTTAAGACAAATTGCGTAATATTTTGCTGCTCAATTGACCACGATATTGAATGTGTCACTAAGGACTGTAAGGATTCAGTTGTCACTCCAATACGTAAAGCAGTATCACTACAACGCTCAACAAACTATGGACCTCATAGCCTCTTCAGTGTCATAGTTAAAATACTGGAAACGGTAGTCGAGAGTACCATGATGACAGTTGTGGAAACTAACAACAGGGTTTCAGAAAAGGTTTATCTCGCACAACAGACCTTCTTATAGCAAGGGAGAGATGGAAAGATGCAATAGACAATGGAACATCAATGTATCTTGTCTACATAGACTTCAGCAAAGCATTTGATAGGTTGCCAAAGAGTAGACTGCTCTTGAAGCTGAATAATCTAGACATCAAAAACCTCTCATCAAGTGTATGAATAGTTTCTGGGCAGGTCGTAGACAAGGAGTAAGAATAAATTCCAGGTGCTCCACGTGGAAACAGGTACCTAATGGAGTACCGCAAGTCTCTTTCCTAGATCGTTTACTTTTTATATTGTAATTGAATAAACTCTCAACTATAGTTGAGTCTCCAATGCTGGTATACTCTGACGATATAAAAATCTTGTGAGAAATAATAGGAGATGGAGGTGCTTTCGCACTTCGGGCAGACTAAAATATTGTGATTAGTTGGTCTAAGGATTGGATGATGCCTATCAACACAGTCAAGTATGTCTACATTCGCTTTGTGGATACAAAGGCATATAGGTACAGCATAGGAGAAGTGCCCGTACCCATGAACCAAGTGGTTTGATTTGAATAATAGAATACTAAGAAATGACTTCGGACATGATGTATCCTCTCTTTCTCCCTACCAGGGGACATAAAGAGCGAGCACAAGAGCCAAGAACAAACAAATACCCGTGACATGCAAGTTTTCACACTGTCATCAGCTTTCAGAACATCTTACGCAAAGAAGTGTTATCTGTCACTTCAAAGGACTCATTCAGCAGAAGACTAGGCACGCACAGAACCATACCAGAAAAAGACCAACATAGGCCGTATGCATTTTATTCTTACTTCACAAATCTGAAATTTTTCATAAGAAACCCGAGTAGAAGATTGCAAACAGCCCCGCTCAATTTTATCAAAACATAATTCCACATTTGTAATCATGACATATATGAACAAATATAAAAACACACAAGTTATACCATACACACATACTCAAGATAACATACATATATATATAACAGATTGACTGGACGAATAAGGATTCTGCTATGCTGAGGGAGTAAGTTCCAGTCTCGGTAACACCGCTTAGCCTGATGTTCTCACACTCATTTAGTCGAAGCAAATCACCAGAATATTGGGAGCTGGTTCACATCACACCAATATCCAAAGGAGATCGACATAGTGAACTTTCAAGCAGATGTCGTTAGATTTATTACTTTTCGTTGATATAAAATCCTGGAGAGAATTTCGCGACCAAGAGGATAAACTAGCACTCCAGGAAGATATGTCTGGACTTCAAAGTTGGGCAGATGACGACGAAGTTACTCTTAACACTTCAAAGTGCAAAGTAAAGATCTGAGATTTGTTGCAGACTACAACTACAACTTGGGCAACTCTACTCTAGAGGTACTGCAAGTTCACAAAGATCTAGGAGTGTTGGTATCTTATGATCTGAAGTCTTACAATGACTGCCACAAAAATGCCTTTCGAGCAAATCTTGCATTGGTTAAGCTGAAGCGCATTTTTGGCCAGTCCGACGGGAAAAAATTTCACCCTCATCTTCAACAATTTTACTCGATGTCGTTAAGAATACGGTAGCATAATATTTTGCCTCTCGTTCCCAAAAGATAATGAAACTGTGAAACGTATCCAAAAGCAAGACACAAAATCATTCCGGGGACTCAAATTCAAGCCTTATGAAGGGTGTCCTCAATCACTGGACCCATACCCATTAAAATACAGTCATCTTAGAAGTGACCTAATGAATAATAGCATTCCCAACACTTTATGGCATCCTCTTAAATAACTACCTAATCTCAGTCCCAACATAAACCTTAGGAGTAACACCGAGAAATTGGTGACAATACCGAAGAACGGATTGTAGACACAGTCTATTCCTTGAGAGTAGTCAAAGGTTGTAACTCGCCACCGGTTGAGTTGGTCCAAGCGTCTACCCAGGAGTTATTTAAGAGAGAAGTTGGTGGTTTCTAAGGTCTTAGGACAGTATCTCACTTCAAAATACAAATTTTCCTTTTTCATCTTTTATCATCAGTATACCTAGGTTCTTACCTGGACGCATCCGTGATCCACTGCTACTACATACGGAAGCTCGACAGTATTAATTTTCTTCTTTTCCGTCCAGAACCATCTAAACCATTTGAACTGATCAGTTCGAAGTTTGGAATAAATTGTATAGTTATGTAACAATTCATATCGTTGAAGAATTACGAACAAGTGGTGAGACCGACATTAGGTGACTATATAGCTATTTCTGATGAAATAATCATAATCAATTAAAAACAATTATGTTTACTTAAACGATAGAAATAATTATTCGATATTGGACATTAATCGTGGTGTGGGAATTATTTCTTCTAGGTCGCTTACTGTTTAACACGGCGGCTAGATTTTCTCTCTGTGTTAGGTTGTCCGGTTTGTTTCATCAATACTATCATTTCGTCGCCAAAAATAACTAGCAGCATGTACGTGAAACACTATGGGCAAAAAAACCAATAAGCAGAAACTTAGTTTTCCAAAGGTTCAGGGATGGGTACCGTACAAAGCGTTTTCTGCAAAAAGTTAGTTAATAAAGTTTCATGTTTCAAGTATTTTCTTAAGAAAACGAAGAGGTTTCGGAGCCGAAATATGCTGAAGTTCCAAAGGATTGGAAGGAACCGAAGTTTACTCCTGAGGATAATCCTCATGGGAGATTGTTTGCTTCATCATCATACACAACGCTCTTCCCAAAATATCGTGAGAAGTACTTGAGCGAAATTTGGCCCGCCTTAAGAAGAATAATGATGGAACATGTAAGACCGATACGCATAGAACTTTTTATTATGCATATTATACATATTCTGTGAATATCACAAAAACGTACTTCATGCTTCCTGTTTGTCAGTTGATATTGTAGTGTTGATTGACAAGTTAAGCCCATATATCTTATTCTAGCTTTCGGACAAGTCAATCCATTCATTCTAGTCGAATCACATTTTGACCTTGTTAATTATTCGCTTATTAATCTTGACTGTTTTTATATGATTGCATGTGTGTGTACACTTCTTATCCCATTCATCACATGTCCGTAACTTATTTTTGTGTGACACAAAAAGAAAAAAATAGTACGATTAATGTCTGATGTTAAGGATGTCCAGGTTATTGTCGTTTACTAACTTGTTGGATAAGGTTAAGTGGGTGCTGAGTGAACATTTGCATTAAGTGGTTATTTGTTTTTCCGATACCTGTATGCTGTATTTTACAGTAGGAATATAGTCATGTTTAGTTAATTGCAATTATGAATACTATTTTGAATTTGAAAAATAAATTGTCGATCCATAACGCATGTATATAGCCTAAGCAATTGCGACGAAATATAATGAATTGCATAACAGAATTGTTTATTTGAGTGCTATTCTTTCGAAATCCTTCAAACCAGTTTGTTATTTTTCACATTTTACATGCTAGTTGTTGTATGAATTGAAGTTTTTTTTCCGAATTTACATGTAATGGAGACGTATTTCTAATTCTATGAACAGCATATTCGAGTGGAGATAGATGTGGCTGAAAGTACTATGGAAGTTCGAACAACTCCAAGGACTTTTGATCCTTTTATCATACTAAAAGCCAGGGATGTTATACGCCTATTAGCCCGCTCTGTCCCTATGGAGCAAGCTATTCGTGTTCTGGATGACGAGACATTCGCAGATATTATTGAAATTAACTTGACTAATCGTGAACGATTTGTTAAACGACGTAATCGGCTTATTGGTCATGATGGTGAAACGTTGAAAGCCCTGGAGCTGTCTACTAACTGTTATATAGTTGTGCAAGGAAAAACTGTTTCTGTGGTTGGTCGATATAACGATTTAAAGGAGGTGTGTTTACTTAATTTATGTATCTGCAATATTGTAATTATTTGAATCCTAATTAGTTTTAACGTCACTATCATAATCTCAAAAGACCTTTATAAAAGTAATGTAAACGACAACAAACAAGAGTTAATCGTTATCTAAACTTAAGGAACCTGTTAACTGGTTGATAAAAACTTCTGTATATCGAGCAGCTAGTCATAATCATTGAGTTACAAATTTTAGTGTCAGTTTTCATTAGTGTGTATTTGATCAAGAATCCTATCATAAACTTTAGGTTTTGAAAAATAACTAACTCGAGTATTGTTCTATCTGGCTTGTGATGATGGTATGGTGGTTATTTTTAGATTGTTCCGTTTTGTTTGTGAACTACAGAAGTCCCAAGCACACACTAGTCACTTATCTCAGAAGAATAAAGGCAAATGCACTAGTCTATGGTAACTATAGTCGATCTTATGATTGGATTCATATTGCCACTTGGTAGCGCTTATACGAGTGGCTCATGAATCTTTTGTCTTTATTTATCTCCAGATTCTAAAACTAGCGCATAGGAATGACAATCAAGAAACGTAGTAGTACTATCTAACTCGAGAAAAATTAGTTTTCCACTTCGGTTCTCTTGATTGCATAACTGCTTTAAAATTTTTATCTGGATTTGTATTATTATATTATTGTTTTGCGTTAGATTTCCGAGTATAAACTTTTAAAGGGGTGTAAAGATATTTGTACAAATCAAGAAAATTACAAGAAGTGTTAAAATACTGACTGCAGTATGAATTAAACGCTTTCAAAGCGTGAAGTAACTTTCCACTGGTGACATAACACTTCTAGTTCGGATATATGAACATAAGCTCCGTGATCTCGTTTATTTGAATAGTTACTTTAACGTTGATAATTCGAAAGTTGTGACTCCAGAAAGGTTGTCTTCTTTTTTTGGTCATCCGTGGGCAGTTGATTGGAGATCTATACCTTACACTTGTCGGCAGAACATACAGGCAAAGACACTTGTGGAGAAAATGAAGTAGTTCTTGAGTGGAGGCGTGTCTTTCAGCAGAATTCTCCTATTTTCAAATAACAATAAGCGTGTTACGTTAAAATAATTTTGAGGTAGTGGGGAAGACTCGTAGGTGGAGTTTCGTACTATGAGCTGGATGGTTTGGTCGTGGAGCCTTCATTGTTTTCCTGAACATTATCAGCACAAATTTCATGTGGAAGTGAAGTGTTTTAATTTCTCCACATATGTATTTCAACACATAAATATTGGTACAAGAGGGCACCAAATATATATGCGCCACACCACATTTGTGTGTGTGGGCTGTGATACTGCCCGGGTGCCCAGATCGAAACAGGTGGTTTGCTTATGGGATCACACCCCGAGCCTTTGACCTAAAGGTCTGACCCACAAGGCAGTGGAGCATCGTTAGGAGATGCAGTCCCATGGTAGCCGGTGACCAACGATTGGTTCATACGCCATTCGTTCCCGCAGGATACTGGAGCCCATGTGCACCATTAGTTTGGAATCCGGTTAAAGCGCCGAACATTTGGTTTTCGTCCTCTCAATTTCGTAAACAACACCCGTGGTGCGAGAATACAGTGAGTAGGACTTCGATGGCAGAGGCTGTGTACGCGTGGCCGTGTGAGAGCATTTCGAGAGGGAGGGCGGGCCCATCCCTTTCTTGACCATACCAGAGCATTTGGGGGCCATATGACTTATAGCTTGTCATATAGACCTCGATGGTGATTGATTATTTTTGTGAGGTTATCTCCATCAAATCCCCTATGCAATTTCTGGATAAGATTAAGGACATTCAAATCAACAACGACGAGATGACGACATCCTTTGATTTAACAGCTTTATTCACTTTAATTGAACCAAGGTTAGCAGGGAAGCTTTACCCTTGCTTCTCACCAACAACATAAATCTCTCAAAGTACACGAAGCTTCAAAGTCCACGTTCACTAGAACTCTTCGATTTATGCTTGACAACATTTTCAATTCAAAAAGAAAATCTACGGACAAACGAAATAAACATCGATGCGATCACTAATATCAGGACTTATTGCAGAAGCAGTGATGTAAAGACTGAAAGACTCGATCTTGCCCGTGATCAAACCAAGTATCTGGATTCGTTATGCGGATGACACATTCGTTATCGTCAGAACGGACAAGCTGGAAAAATCTACACTCTGATCAACAACGTCTTCATTAATATTATCGAAAAGGAGCCAAATCACAAACTATCATTCTTGGATGTATTAGTCACCAGAACTGACACAGGGGAACTGGAGACTGAAGTATATCACAAGCCAACCCACACAGATCGATTTCTCAGTTCCACAAGCTACAAACCACAACTCACTGCCTTCTCGTGGCGGGGGTATTGTTTGCGAAAATGAGAGGACGGAAACCAAATGTCCGGCGCTATAACCGGATCCCAAACTAATCGTGCACATGGGCTGGCTCCAGTATCCTGCGGGAACAAATGGCGTATGAACCAATCGTTGGTCACCGGCTTCCATGGGACTGCATCTCCTTACGATGCTCCACTGCCTTGTGGATCAGACCTTCATGTCGAAGGCTTGGGGTGTGGTCCCCTAAGAAAACCACCTTCTTCAGTTTGGGCACCCGGGCAGTATCACAGCCCTCACACAAATCAAATGAGATCTGTGTAGTGCATATGTATTTGGTGCCTACTTTTACCAATATCTATGTGCTAAAATAAATAAATATTTGATCTGTTAATTTATCATAATGTTTAGATGTCGGAATTTACTCATTTTCTCTATATATACTATTGAGTTTTAAATAATTATACTATTTAGATTAATTATATTTTTTGTTGTTGTTTATTATATAAATAAAGGTACGTAGAATTGTTCAAGGTTGCATCTATGACAATATACATCCAGCTTATTCTATTAAAAGATTACTTATCATAAAAAAACTTTCTATGGATCCTACAAAACAAAATATATCGTGGGATCGATTTTTGCCTAAAATGAAAAAGAAAGTACTTAGTCGACGTAGAAAACCTCATAAAGTACGTTTATATTAATGTATATATTATGGTTTTAATAGCGAGACTATAATTTATAAACGAACCAATTCGATTTAGAATAACAGGTCTTGGATTTTGGCGCGAAGTGTTCACTCAATCCATTTGGTTAAATAGCAATTTGACGTTGTAGCTAATGTCAGTTCGTGATGAAAAACCTTAAATCTAATTCTTAACCTATAACCATCAACTGTAAATCACATTGTTTATTCTTCAAACTGCTTTATACAGTGATCTTGAGTGCTGCGCGGAAGTCCGTTCTGTTTTACTTTACGGCAGCGAAACATGGCCATAAGAGTAGGAGATACTCGTAAGCTACTAGTATTTGACCACAGATGCCTTAGAAATATTGCTGCCGTCTGCTGGGACCACCGGGTAAGTAATAGTGAGGTTAGACGCAGGGTATTAGGGAATGATGGTAAATCAGTTGATGAGGTTGTTAATCTTCATCGACTGAGATGGTTGGGCCACGTGCTGTGTATGTCTGAACAACGATTACCACGACGTGCAATGCTAACCGGTGTTGGAGATGGTTGGAAGAAAGTTAGGGGCGGCCAAACCAAAACGTGGCATCAGTCCACAAAGTCACTAACTTCTAGTTAAAGCCATGTTGGTAGATGCAGACTACTTGGTTGGAGTCCGCATGACTATCGTAACCAATGGTTGGAGACTCTGTGTGACGTGGCTCAGAATTGATCACAATGGCGTAGATGTATACACTCTCTGTCTTCCTGTAAACTAAGAGATTAAAATCGCTTCATATCTTTCTTTCTACGAACTAATTCTTTCTTCCTGAACTATATCCTTATTGCAATCTTTCTTTTATATATTACCACCTCTGAATTAACTACTTTTATGAATCCGGTGTTCATCTTGTTGTGTTAATGAGGTATGGCAACTTGGACCGATGCATAAATGTGCCTGGTTCTACATTGTAGCTGACTGACTGAAACTGCTTTATAACCCTTATTTAACCGTCGTAAGAAGGTAGACACTCTCAAGGTCACTTTAGCGTCGCTTAAAGGTCGTCCATAAATTATAGATCTCACCATTAAAAAAAAATATGCTTAATCTCTATTGAGTGTATCATTGATTTAATGTATTTTTTTGTTGTTACTGTTTTTACTTTTAGGTACGTAAGAAAAAAGAATATAATCCATTTCCACCACCACCAGTTCAATCAAAAATTGATATTGAACTAGAAAAAGGTACATACTTCTTAGCTGAAGCTGAACGTAAACGATTGAAAGTCGAATCGAATATTGTTAAATCAAATCAAATATCAAAAATACGACAAAAAGCTAAACGTTCCGCTGCACTTATTCCACCTGATGATCAATGTCACAACAAAAATAATAATAATGATAATAATACCAGTCATAATAAACCGAAAAAGATTAAATTTGAGGAATAAAGATGATAATTCTTTCTTATAATTTGTATTACAGGTTAAGATTTACTTACTTACGCCGGCTACTCCTCGTGAAGAAGCATAGGCAGCCCATCAGAATTCTTAGGCAATCCTTTCTAGTTGCTATTCATCCTTTTCATATCTGCTTGTATTTCCTGTCGCAATGTGTTCTTTGGCCTTCCTCTTCCCTCCAGGATTCTAAGTTAGGGTTTGCCTCGTAATGCAGTTTGATGATTTCCTCAATGTGTGTCCTATCCACTTCCAATGTCTTTTCCTCATTTCCTCTTCAGATGGAAGCTTGTTTGTCCTCTCCCACATTAGGCTGTTGCTGATGGTACCCAGCCAATGGACGTTGAGCATCTTGCGTAGACAACTATTTATAAATTCTTGTACGTTCTTGATGATGGTTGTAGTAATTCTCCACGTTTCACCTCCATACAATAGAACTAACTGTCTTGACATTCGTATTGAAGATTGTGACTTTGATATCGGTTGACAGTTGTTTTGAGTTTTACGTGTTCTTCAATTGTAAGGATGTGGCGCTTGCTATGCCAATCCTTACCTTTATGTCTGCATGCAGTCTTCCTTGTTCATCGATGATACTTCCCAGACAGGTTAAGACTAAAAGAACATTTTTTGTGGGCGTTTATCTTTTTAAATAATGAAGGAACCACCTACCTACCACTTCATATTTTGTTCGGATTTCATTAGAAAGCAAACTTTTCTGTGAAATGAAATTTATGGCTTTTGAGTTGGTTAGATCGAAAAATTTTAATATCGAAGAAGCATCGTGAAGCATAGAAGTTTAGCTGTTCATAAGTGAATCAAATTTATAAACTTTCCATTCTATTTTAACACGGAATGGATGTTGTCAAAAGAAAACATTCCTAACGGCTAAAGTGTAATGCTATAGTGAATAAATAATTTGTGGAGTAGATGATTGACGAAGTCGAACACAATCTCAGAATGGATTGAATGTGAAGAATGCATACTATTTATTTTAACACATAGATATTGGTAAAAGGAGGCACCGAATACATATGCGCCACACAAATCTCATTTGATATGTGTGAGGGCTGTGATACATCCCGGGTGCCCAAACCAAAGAAGGTCGTTTCCTTATGGGGTCACACTCGGGGCCTTCGACCTGAAGGTCTGATCCACAAAGCAGTGGAGCATCGTAAGGGGATGCAGTCCTATGGTAGCCAGTTACCATACGTCATTTGTTCCTTCAGGATACTGGAGTTCATGTGCACCATTGGTTTAGAATCGGGGTTTTCCAACTCCACTAGGTGAACTCTCCGTGTCCACTAACCCGGTTAAAGCACCGGACATTTGGTTTTCATCCTCTTAATTACGTAAACAACACCCGTGGTGCGAGAAGGTGGTGAGTAGGACTTCCCTGACATTTTCTATATACGCGTGGCCATGTGAGAGCATTTGGAAAGGGAGAGCTGACTCTCCCCACTCTCGGCCGTACCAGGGCGTTTGGGGGCGACGACGAATGCATGTCACATATCCTTAGTGTTATGTCATTCAAACCTCTCATATTATATGTTATTACTTTGTGGAGATTTATTTGGACACATAAATATTGGTACAAACGGGCACCGAATACATATGCGCCACACAAGTCACTTGATTTATGTGTGAGCTGTGATACTGCCCGGGTTCCCAGACCCAAGCAGGTGGAGAAACGCTGATATAACGAATTACAATATTAGTTAGTGCCTTTCTTTTACCAGTGATGTTTTAAGACTGATATAGTCTCATAAGTGCCAAGAGGATTTATATAAGATGAAAATATGCAATATATCATTTAGAAGTTTCCCAGAGTAAAACTAATTACTGAACCAAATCAAGTCCGGTCGATAAACACTTTTTATTGCTGAGTAATTAAAGTACACGATCTATTAATTTATCAGTTTACCAAGATATTTTTTTAATAGTCAAGCTGAATGAACGTTAAATCCTGAATATTTCTGAAATGAAATTACGATCATAGTACATAAACATATTTTGTTAATTTTGTTTGCATTATCTTTATTCTCATTTATTTATATGGCTTTATATTACTATAATCCCATTTCTAATATCCGAACATATGATATAATGCACGTTTCTGTATATTCCGTGGATCATCGTTTAAATACAATAGGTACCATAGTTGTATGCTGTTAGTTCCTGACCGAAGCTGCTACCTTGACGCGGTGGTCGGGCTTGCCTATCGTGATGACCCAACCGAGCTATATTGGCTGGAACATATGTTCCTGTAGGTTCTACCATGCCAGGCAGGTCGATTGGAGAACGGTAAGACTAAAAGCAGCAACTCAAGGTCTGAGGGCGAAGTCGTACTGCTGACTGTAGAGGGGTGTGACAGCAGTAAGGTGTTTCCCTCGGACAACCAGCATGACAGCGATGCTGCCTTCCCACGAGGAGGGGTGGGGTTAGAAAAGGCCGACCCTAAAAATGTCACACCTCACCTTACCTCACGGATTTCCGTCTCCAGCGATAAGGCCCTTTGAAGAACGGAGCTAACACGCCTAAAACCTTCCACGAAAGGGCCGTGCGCGACCGGCCTCAAGCAGTTGTCCCTTGGGCTCTGCAGTCACGCTCCCAGGTCGTCAAGACCAACACTAATCCAACTTTTTTTCAGGTTCCTCAAGAAATACTCTTCCACGGTGTGGGCAGCCGGGAAGTGACATCAGCCCTCATACCTGTAACAGCGCACGAAACCAAGTTGGTCACATTGAAATCCTTCCTAAACCTCCTTATACCTCCCTTATTTCCATGACTAACCCTCCTCACGTCTCTTTATCACCTCGCACCACTAGGTCAAACGATTCGAGTAGGCGGAACGCTATTCCTGGTCTCCTGAAACCACGCTCTAAACTACACGTAGGAACTTTTAACGTCCGAACACTGTGCCAAATAGGACAACAGGCTTCCTTAGCTAGGACTTTAGAATCCCGCGCCATCGATGTGTGCTGCGTCTCCGAAACGCGCATACAGGGTCCGAGTAGCGTCATTCATCTGACCTCACCATGCCAAAATAAAGAACCGACTCGATTCACACTTCGTGTGTCTGGAAGCCCTGATTCTGCTTACCGTGGCCTTGCCGGCGTAGGTATAGCATTGAGTCCCAAGGCAGAACTGGCTCTCTTAGAGTGGATCCCAGTAGACAGTCGTTTGTGCGCTGTCCGACTAAACGGAACAGTAAGGATCCGAAAAGATAGGGACACTCGTCGTTGCCTCTTCGTCGTCTCTGCCTATTCTCCCACTGACTGCAGCGCAGATGATGTAAAAGATGAGTTTTACAGAAAGCTCTCCGACCTCCTCCTAAAAGCTAGGCGCTCGGATGTAGTAATAGTGGCCGGTGACTTTAATGCTCAAGTAGGTAAACTAAGCGATAGGGAAAGACACCTGGGTGGATCTTATAGTGTCGTGGCCCAAAGAACAGATAATGGCGACCGTCTGTTGCAGCTATGCTCAGATAACCGCCTGTTCCTTGCAAATACTAACTTTAAGCATAAGGAAAAACATCTTTTAACATGGAGACCCCCTAATTCGTCCCAACGTTAGACCCAAATAGAACACATCGCTATCAACCACCGATGGAGAGACTCGATAGAAGACTGTCGCTCATTCTGGAGCACAAGCGTAGATTCAGATCATGCTCTAGTACGAGCGCGTATCTGTCTGCGTCTTACTGGACGTAGGAAAGACGCTGCAAGTAAACCTCTTAGGGCCCTACTTAATGATAGTCAAACTAAGAGTATATTTCAGGAACAACTAGGAAAACAGTTTGGCAACCATGTATGTGATGTCCACCCCGAGGCAGCATGGATGATATCCGAAAAGCTGTGGGAACAGCAGTGATATCTGCCAGTAAGGTAACCCGTAAGGTTAGGGAGCAACACTGGATCTCAGCAGCATCTATCTCACTGATAGATGCTCGGAAACTCATTCCACCTGGCTCTGGACATAATGAAGATCGGAGTCAGCTTAAGCGCAAGCTGACAAGAAGTCTACGCAATGATCGTGAACAGTGGTGGGTAGCGAAAGCAAGAGAGATGGAAAGGGCAGCAGCAATAGGTAACAGCAGACAATTGTTCAGACTTGTTAAGAAAACCGGTATTAGGAAACCGACTGTTAGCGAAACAATCTCAGAGAAAGATGGACATATTATACATTCTGAATCCAGAAGATTGGATCGATGGGCAGAACACTTTAGGGATCAGTTCAACTGGCCTTCAGCCACACTTCGGTTTCCCACGATCTCCAGTCAACCTGAATGGCAAGTTAATGTAGGTCCTCCGTCTCTTTACGAAGTTGAAAAAGCCATAGGAAATCTGAAACGAGGGAGAGCAGCAGGCCCTGACAGGTTTACTCCTGAGATTTTCAAGGATGGTTGTTCAGTATTAGCAGTGAGATTAACTGAGGTCTTAGGCAGAATTTGGGAACTGGACGTAATCCCATCTGACTGGTCTCAATCACTGATTGTGCCAGTTTTTAAGAAAGGACAAAAGTCCTCTTGTGACAATCACAGAGGAATCAGTTTGACTAATATATAGTGTCCAAAATATTAACTTCAATAACGCTTCGACGCATAACCAGGGATCGTGAAGAACAGACTAGAGAAAATCAGGCTGGTTTTCGACCTGGACGTGGTTGTATAGACCACATATTCACACTACGTCAGGTTCTAGAACACAGACACACATTCAGACGCCCCACAATGGTAGTATTTCTCGACCTTAAGGCGGCATTCGACTCTGTTGATCGTAAGGTTCTATGGCAGTGTTTGTCAGTGAAAGGAGTACCAAAGAAGTACATTAACCTTATAAAGGCTCTCTACTCGAATACAACTGGTCGAGTGAGAGCTTATGGCGAACTGTCATCAGAATTGATTACCTCAAGTGGTGTTCGTCAGGGCTGTCCACTCTCCCCATTCTTGTTCAACTTTGTGGCCGATGTACTTTTAGAGATAACACTCTCTTCATCTAAATTTCCAGGAGTTGAACTTCTACCAGGAGATTCACTTGTTGACTTAGAATATGCAGATGACATAGTTTTATTTGGCGAAGACGCTGACAAAGTGCAGAGTCTTCTGACCACTCTAAGCAACAATGCAAGTATGTTCGGGATGCGATTCTCTCCCTCGAAATGCAAAATGTTGCTTCAGGATTGGGTTACATCCCCACCCGAACTAGTGATAGGGAGTGAAGTAGTTGAGTGTGTCGACCGCTTCACTTATCTTGGAAGTCTCATCAGCCCTTGTGGTTTGGTGTGTGACGAAATCTCAGCACGGATACAGAAGGCTCGACTAGCTTTTGCCAACTTGCGTCATTTATGGCGTAGGCGAGATATCCGTCTATCAACCAAAGGACGTGTTTACTGCGCAGCAGTTCGTTCCGTCCTACTTTATGGCAGTGAAACATGGCCGGTAAGAGTAGAGGATATCCGTAGGTTACTAGTATTCGATCATAGGTGTCTTCGAAACATTGCTCGTATATCCTGGGACCATCGAGTAAGTAACACAGTTGTAAGGAAACGGGTACTAGGTTAGGATGGCAAATCAATTGATGAAGTAATGAGTCTTCATCAGTTGAGATGGCTGAGACACGTGTTACGTATGCTCAACGACCGACTGTCTCGACGTGCGATGTTCAGTGGTATAGGAGTAGGTTGGAAGAAAGCTAGGAGCAACCAGATGCAAGCATGGCACAAGTCCATGAAGTCACTGACAAGTGGACTGAGTCATGTTGGTAGGTGTAGACTTCCTGGTTGGGGACCGCGAGATGATAGCAACCGATGGTTAGAGACCCTGCATGACATGGCACAAAATCGTTTGCAATGGCGCAGGTGCATCCACTCTTTGTGTTCTCCCAAATTCTGATCTCCTTATTCCTTTTTGTCTTTTTTTTCTCTTCCCAAATTTATTTCACTGTATTATACTCTTTAAGTAACATCCCCAAACCCTAATCTTCCCGATTACTGCTTATACTATTTTTACCTCTACCACTACGGGATTTGAATCGACCACTGCCTCTCTGTGCTAATGTGGTGTGGCAACTCGAACTGATGTACGTACGTGTGAAGTTCTACGTTGTTACTGACTGACTGATGCTGTTAGTTCCTAGTTCAGTTATTTATAATTATTATTGATATTAGACACGGCCACTAGCTGTTATTTACATTATCGTGTGTTGTAACCAAACTTTAAGTAATCATTACAAGAAGCCATTCTGGTTCTAGACATACTGACACATTTATCCTCATGAGTTGAGGTTTGTAAACAGTTTATATATGTATGTCATGGAAATCATGAACCGATTGGTGGTATAATATAGATTTCTCAGCACGAGGTATTACAACAGGTTTCCGTTTCTTATTTCTTGATCGATCTAGACGGTAAATATTGAGTGGTCGCTAATTAGATATCAGCAGTTCACGAATCGACATGTCAAGAATGTGTATTCTTTTCAATGCATATCACCAGTTAAAACAATGACTCTGATTGTGCTATTCTCTAACTTGTACAACGAAACGTTGTGCGAAATTTCACAAACCCAACTGAATAGGTTATGAAACTAATAAACATAATAACCTGTTAAAAACAAACAAGAAAACAGATAACTTGTTGAAATCTTTAGATGACAGGAACAATGGGCCCAGATATTCAAACAGATCACCTTCCAATACTATCCAGGTAAAACAGTTTCTATGGCGCTTTTATCGATTTTTGTTCATAACCTACAGTTTAAACTAGAAAGTCTTCAAGATACTCATTTCACCTAGTTACTATTCATTGTGAATAGAAGAAAACAAACAAAAAACACCCACTTTTTTTCTGTTCATAAATTTATTTACAATATTGACAAATGTCAAAAAAATGTTAACCCATTTATCATTGATCAGTGTTTTTCTTCTTTGGATGGATTGGTAAATAGAGATTGTCTTTGTAATTCTTCTTTTTTTACATAAATTGGATTTGGAGTACAATCTGGAATCGAAATAGAATCAGATATCTAGATAAATAAGTAAATCTTATTTATTTAAACACATAAACATTGGTAAAGGGAGGCATCAAACAGACATGTGCCGCATGAATCATTCGATTTGTGTGAGGGCTGTGATACTGCTTGGATGCCCAAACCGAAGCAGGTGGGTTTCTTAGGGGTCTATACACGGAGCCTTCAACCTAAAGGTGTGATCCATAAGGCAGTAGAGCAACGTCAGGAGATACAGTCATATGGTAGCCAGTGACCATCGATTGGTTCATACACCATTATTTCCTTCAGGATCCTGGAGCCAGCCCATGTGCACCACTGGCTTGGAATGAGGGTTTTCCAACTCATCTAGGTGGACTCTCCGTGTCCACTAACCCGATTAAAGCGCCGGACATTTGGTTTTTGTCCCCTCAATCTCGTAAACAACACCCTGACCGAGAGAAAACAGTGAGTAGGACTCCCCTGGTAGCGGTTGTATGCACAGAGCCATATGAGAGCATTTCGAGATGACTCTCCCCACTCTCGGCCGTACCAGGACATTCGGGGGCAATAAATAAACACAACTGTCGTTTAATGTATGTTGCATGGTACTTTCCAGTAGCATTAAATCGTGATGAAACGTTTACATTATCAAATGCCCTGTTACGGCCAAGGGTGTGGAGAGTCTGTTATCCCTCTCAAATGGCCACGCGTGAACAGCTACTGATAGGAAAATCCTACTCAATGACTTCTCATGGCGTGGTTATTCTTTACGAAAATGACAAAACGAAAAGCGAATTTCTGGCGCTTTAACAGGGTCGGTAGATTCACCTAGCGGGGTTGGAAAACCCTGATTTCGAACTAACGGTGCATATAAACTCAAGCATAATGAGGCGACATATGAACCTATTGTTGGTCACAGGCTACCATGGGACTGAATTTCCTAACGTTGCCCAATTACTTTGTAGATTAGACCACTAGGTCAAAGGTTTAGGGGATGGCCCCCTTAGAACGCCAACTGTCTCGGTCAGTGGACCCAGGAAGTATTTCAGACCTCACACAAATCGAATAACAAAATGTGACGCATATATATTTGGTGCCTCTTTCTACCATTCTTTATATATTTAAGTAAGAAAATTTAGTTTCAATCAACAGTTATCATCGACTTTCTATGTTGATATATTGATGACAACAGTGAAATTGTCGAAAAAATCATAAGTTTGTATAGAGTAAACTAAATTACTTTATGTAACCCAAGATTGTTTCCACTTGTAATTGTACTTCAGAATAGTAAACCATTGAGAACAGTAATAAAATTATTATTATTATTATTATTACCTCATTAAAATGACAACTTATTGACAGAATCATTCGACTTTTGTTCACTGAAATAGCGTGTTCGAATCATAGATTACCACTTAATTCAGACTAGGCAATTAGGTAGTAGTAACAATAACCCTCGTACGAGCAATACGCATTGAAACCAAGTACATAAATCTCTACTTGGTGAATAAGTCACATCAACAATCCTAGTAACCGGTTGGCAAACCAATCACATTATTATATTCAAGCCTAATCGTGTAGGTGAACACTTAGCAACTTCACAGTGAATGATTATGTCAACTAATAATAATAATAATAATTTGTGCACATGATTCTTTATTGAATGTGCAATGATGTTTCATCCAAAACCGATCAATATAGTAAACTGATCCATCCCAAATGATCTGAGTAGAGATTCAATCAACTAACAATCATCTGATATTAAATAAATGCATCAATTAACATATTCAATCACATCAATATTCAGTTGTTAGTAAATAAAGGAATGAAGACCATTTTGAGAGTATTATTTTGTACCTAGAGCCCGTCAAACCAAGATGTGGTCCCAATCTGTAAAGTCATTGAGAATTGGACTGAGATATGTAAGTTAACGAGTGTAGACTATCTGGCTGGGGTCCGCGTGATTGTTCTAACGAATGGTTGAGAACTTTGAATGACATGGCTCAAAATCGTTCGCGATGGGGCAGGTGCGTTCACCGTTTATCTTCCTTTAAATCTTGGGTCCTTGAATCTCATTATTCATTTTTTTCTACATCTAATCTTACCCATTACTACTGATACTGGTTAATACTTCTACTAATTTGAGATTTGTCTGATATAACAACTTGAATCGATATACATATGTGTCAGGTTCTATGTTGCGTACGTCTGACTGACTATCAACAGAAGCCGTCTAACAGTCATTACACTAATAATCTGTTTGATTTAGGCTACGCATCAGAGAAGCACATATTTTAACTATGATAGCTGAAATATAGTTGAAATCAGTTGATTACTTAGCCATATCTCTCTGGTTTATAATACTAATTGGATCGTATAGATCAAGTTGTAATGTCTACAGTAGTTTAAGCGACTTAACACTGTGTGCATTATGTATGGCTGTTAATTGCTTAGAAGTGACCAAATGCAAGGTATTTAAACCCAGACTTGATGCTATTCAGCACTCGGTTGTAATCCTAAAGCGTTGAACCCACCTCACTCAAAGTGACATAACCAGAGATGTTGGCATTCAGTTATTTTAGGTCTGCCATTGTATGAATGGCTAGTGTTTTGTGCTGGGCAGTCAATGATGTAATACTTGTCTAATCCTTAATTCTGGTCTTATTCAACCAATCGAATCACAATGTGACTACCAGTGCAATAGATTGGTTATCACGTGTACATGTACATCCGAAGGTCTCCTATCTATCTATCTATCTTTAGCTACTTAATAATGAACATGCGTTTTATTGGATTAGCAGTTATTAAAGAGGTAGTGGAGAAGATTTGTAGCTGAGGTGGATGATTTTGATGGAGTTTTGTTCTTTGAGCTGAATGGTTTAGTCGTAGAGCTTTCATCGCTCTTCTGAACGACATCAGCATAAACTTCAGATAAAAGTGAAATGTCCGAATTTCTCCATATATGGCTCACAGCTTATCCTGTAGAGCTCGATGTTGATTGGTTCTTCTAGCTGACTCTTAAACCTGTCATTGTTTACTTCTTTGTTTTGGTTATATCTCTTATTAGTATGACTTATATGGAAAATTATGCACAAATATAGGAACAAAAATCATTGAGCATTAGTCTCACTCACTAACTGATGAAAATCATAGATTATAACTTATGAGGTCATATTTTCATGAATATTACAAGGTTCCCAGTTCGACAACATATTTAGTATTGTGTGAGTATGCATTGTTAAAGGAACTGTATTGAACTAACATGAAATAGCTATCTACTTCTCGATAGTTTCAAAATGTTCTCCCAACTAATGAAATATACTGGTTTGTAATGAAAAGCGAATTTTCAAGTAAAGTTTTCCACTATTTTATCACTGATAACCAATACAGAATTTTAATCAGTCTTACAGTTTTACAGAATAGATGAATTGCGCTTTTTCTAGTACTGGGGAATCCAGGATATGCACATTTTGTCTTATATGAGAATCTTTAGTTGAATTGTTATAACCTTGTGGGATACAACATGAATAAACCAGTATCTTAATGTTGATGTTCACATTGGAATAGCAGTCCAGTATACCGTTCACTTCAAAAAGGAACAGTGGATAACGCAAGGATTGACATATACATATTAGACGATGAGTTCCAAGCATTAAAAAAAAAATGCAAAACTTGAATCCCACTATCAGCTACAATCTATTAATTCTATAAGACTGTTGAACAATGTAGTTCTATAGTACTTACCAACTTGTCATTTAATTAAATTAATCTGATTCATCTTCAATATTTGAATCTGATGAATTTTCTTTCAACGAAATTTTTGGACCATTCGATTGTGATAATTTTTTTCTTTCCTCTTTTAGCTTTTTACGTTCAGCTTGATGACGTTGACGAATACGTTGTCTCCATAATTTCTTATCTTCTTTATCTATAATTTCATGTAATAAACGACGTTCTTGATCAATGTTTAATGTTTCATTTGATGTAATTGTTGTCTCAATTTGATTATCAATAGGTATTGGAGGTTTAGCAACAGGGATATCACCGATTTTCTCGCATATTACCTGAAAGAAAGAAAGAAAGAAGTAAAAGTAATTAACTGATTGATTCATTGTGAGAATATTACGATTTTAGATGGTGGTTAGAGGCATATGACAAGACACCATGTTTCATTTTTGTTTATTTATTTAAACATATAAACATTGGAACAAGGAGGCACCAAATAGATATGTGCCACATAAATTATTCCATTTCTGTGAAGGCTGGAATACTGCCCGGGTTCCCAAAAAGAAGCAGGTCGCTTTCTTAGAGGGTCACACCCAGAGTTTCCAGCCTAAAAGTCTGATCCACAAAGCAGTGGAGCATCGTAAGGAGATGTAGTCACATGTTAGCAGGTGACCAACGATTGGTTCATACGCCATTTGTTCCTTCAGGATCCTGGAGCCAGACCATGTGCACCATTGGTTTGGAATAAGGGTTTCCCAACTCATCTAGGTGAACTGCCCGTGCCCACTAACCCGGTTAAAGCACCGGACATTCGTTTTTCGTCCTCTCAATTTCGTAAACAACACCCGTGGTGCGAGAAGGCAGTGAGTAGGACTTCCCTGACAAAGGCTATATACGTGTGGCCATGTGAGAGCATTTCGAGATTTAGAGCTGACTCTCCCCCACTCTCGGACGTACCAGGGAATTCGGGGATATTTACAGAGTTAAAGGAACAGGTACTTCCTATGATATTCGAATCGACATTTCCCAGCTTTAGTGTATGAAATATTACCATTCAGCTATTCAGACAGCAGCTGACGTTCTAACAGATAATTTTAATTCATTTGTCGTTATGGTTCTAAATAAAACTGATATTACATCTATAACTGTTAATAATCAAATCTATACAATGTGTTAATCAATAGTATTATTACTAATATCAGAATTATTTTGCGAGAATATGACAATGACTAGTGAGTCACATGAATAGTAATATACTACACTTGGTATGTAGAAAAGAAGTATTATTTCTAGAAAAACAACATTCATTATATATACGAAGTTGCGCCACAGTACACCATTGTCTTCAGTGAGTTGATATCTCACAACGATGAAATTTCTAAAATCTCCACAAAACCCCTTCTGATAATAACCATCTGCTCACTAGTGACTGACTTCATGAGATACTCCTGGAGTTCTAGTGAAAAGCCGTTACCAGTGGAGTTCAACCAGGTCTGTTGTGAGATATCAACTCACTGAAGACAATAGTGAACGGTGGCGCAACTTCGTGAATTGGTGTAAGTTAGACATTAACAGCGTTGGATGCCGGCTCAGTGGTCTAGTTGGTTAAGCACCTGGCACGAAATTGATAAGTCCTGGGTTCGAATTTCACGGGGAGTCGGATCGTATATACGCATTGCTGAGGAGTACCATACTAGGACGTAGACGGTCGTCCAGTGCTTCAAGGTTTTCCATAGTGATCTAATTTCAATTGACTCTTGATCTTAACTATTAAAATGACTATAATATCCATAAAATCCCTTTTGAAATTAAAGAAGTGGTTGAGTCAATGTGACCCATAGAATATATCATCATAAAACGATATTTTTAATGGGAAAATTACAGAACAAACATATATATATATCCACATAAAAGAGCACTTTCAAGAGAAACAGACACACACACACACAAACACAGATGCTTACATGACCTTCATCGTCGAATTCTAATTTTCGATGAGACCGAATCTTTTGTTTTAATTCTTTCTTTGCTAATTGAATACGACTTAATTTTTTCTAGAGAAAAAAAAGAGACAAAAAGTAGATTATGTAAACAAATACTTAATAACAATCCCACGTTTGAGCAATATATTAAAACGTCTAAATGATATCTGTAGTGATATCGTGTTATGGATAGGTAGATCTATCCTGTTATAACTGAAAAATAAATGCTACGGATTAAGGGTAGCGAATTATTGATCGGACCAAAGACGCGCAAACACGTAGAACGACCTAGGGTTCTGATTGGTCTCGCTTCCCTGTCTAACCCAGCCAGTTGAGTCCAGAACACAAGTCTCAGCCTCGGAATTATGAATCATTATATTTCAAACATGCTTTGTTTATATACCATTCAAGCAGTCCACAACGTACCATAAAATAGAAGATAACATTGTACAATAATGGCCAGTAGGAAAATAACACGTTAAATAAATATTGACCAATAAGATGATACCATTTCATGTCCAAGGATAGCATTAGGCTTAACAGGATAATTTTTGGGATATTTTCCTGAATATCCCAACATATCCATAAACAGGGATCATAACATACCGTTTTATAATCCAGCACTTATACAATATTAAATGAGTAATTCTTCAGTTAAAACCCTCTATGCTATACAACTCCTAAAGACTGATGTGTTGGCATACAGACCAGTTTGGAAAAGCCACTCATACATTTATTTACACATAACAATCTCCTTCGGTGATTCAAATAGTTTTACAATCCCCCGTTTTCTATAAAAAGTAGTTATTGTCCAATTTCAATGTAGGCTAGGTTACTGTTTAAGGGCCCAAATTGAAACAGGTGGTTTTCTTAGGAGGTTACTCCCCGAGCCTCTAATCTAGAGTTTTAATCCACAAGGTAGTGGAGCAACGTCAGGACATGCAGTCACATGATATTCGGTGGTCAACAATATATTCATACGCACCACTGTTTTGGAATCAGGGTTTTTCAACTCCCCTAGGGAGATCCTCCATGCCCAATAATCGAGTTTAAGGACCGAATATTTCCTGTTCTTGCTCTCAATTTCGAAAACAATACCCCTGACATGAGAAAACATCGAGTAGTATTTCCCTGACAGTTTCTGTATACGCATGGCCATATGAGAGCATTTTGAGAGGGATAACAGACTTTCCACACCCTCAGCCGTATTAGGCTGGACGATACTTGAACGTTGTATGAGAATTTAAATAACAGTGTTGGTGAGCTTTAGTAAGTAGACTATTTATCTTACCAAAATGTCGTCATGGAATTTAACAGTTAGTCTCTCTCTATTTGTATATACACAAGAATTATAAGTGCTTTATAAATTGGTTCGTACTATTTTTTTGCATACCAGTTGGAGATAGTCACTGATCTGGACTATAACACAAAGTCAATCTTCAGTCAGTTAACTAGCTTCCGGGGACTACATTAAAAATTACTTAAGTACAAAAGATGATTAAAGACTATAATATCAAGTATTTCATTAATTTGAATAAAAGGTTACTAAAAAAAACAGTTCTGCACTATTCAATTACAATTGTACATTCATTTTACATCTGAATTCCAAACATTAAACGATCACTGAGATTTAGACAACGCAGACATTGACCACTAATCAGTCAACCAGTCAGTAACAACGTAGAACTTCGTGCGTACGTGCATTAGTTCGAATTGCCACACCACATTAGCACAGAGATGCAGTGGTCGATTCAAATCCTGTAGTGCTAGATGTAATAAAATTATTCATTCGTTGGCCACTAATGAACGCAACTAATCGACAATCAAACACACACTCAATTGTAACTAGACGATTTATAATAGTAATGATTGAATGACAGTATCGTTTTCAGCCTTTTAAATAGGTTACAGATATATATCAGTGATGGAAGTTAGGATGGAGGAAACATGAACCGATCAATAAAATAACCATCTCTAATGAACATTTAAAAGATTTACAATACAAGTAGTCATACTTCATTAAGTTAAGATTAATATAAAAATAAACAAACAAACGAGAAGGTAGAACTACATACCAATTTATTTACAGATTTCCTACTATGTTGATCATCTTCTATTGTATCATCATCTGTACTTGTATCTTGAACAAGATCTAGACGTTTTAATTTAGTTTCATTCGGGATAACATTGATTGAAGATTTTTTAATCAATAAATTATCATCACTATCCATATTAATATCATTTTCATCAACATTATTATCAGTGTTTGATGTTATCAACTGTGTTGAATGAGGTAAATCCATCTTCATTGAACTGAACACGTTATCAGTAGTAGCAGTAGTAGTCGATAATTGATTGACATTATCATCAGATAAATTTGATATAACTGATGGGAAAGATTTAATCAATTTAACTGAATCTGGAACAAGTTGAATGTATTCTTTTGGAAGTGATGATATGAATGGTAAACCTGTATATAGGTATAGGATAAATGAATTAATTTATTAAGATATTACATATGAACTCATAATCATAAGTAGTGTTAATGAGGATTGGAGCTGTTGAGCTTTAAAGTAAAGATGCTGATATTTTGGCGTTAATCATTGTTTATCAAACAGTAGTAGTAAAAGTATGACCTGGGACAATTTGGGATGAAGAGTCTCTTATCATTTTCTAAATGCACTTATACAGTCATGTGTTTATCGTCTACTCTATAGAAGTTCTACTCATTACATTCACGTCGCCGGGTGTTTCTATAAGAGTGAAACAGCGAATTGAACATTGGTCTTATAACCTGGGTTGGTGAACACTGATACCAAACAACAGTGGGTGTGACGTAAGTAAAGGGGCAAGAATCTATAATAGTCACTGGATAGCAAGACATTATATGACTTGACATTGCTCTCGTGTCTCTTGGTTCAGACCTTTACATTAAATGCTTTGAGCGTTGGTACCTAGGAGAGCCACCCGCTTAAGGTTATAATTCCCGGGAAGTATACTAGTCCCTAGAGAAATAACTAGGAGCACCAACGAAATTTCATAAACAATTACTTGTGATACATCGTCATACGTTTATGCACTTTGATGTACTTCTATTCACTTTAGTTTACATACGTAGAAATTTCTCATGCATATAAGAACTATGAAAAAAAATCGACTGAATATCTTAATTTATAATCTTAAACATATGAGTATAACACGTATTCACTTGTTCATATGTTTGTAGCATTACGCATGTATAGTGAAATAGTCGAACAGGGTACGCTCAGATTGCCCCCAAATGCCCTAGTACGGCCGAGAGTGGGGCGAGTCAGCTCTCCCTCTCCAAATGCTCTTACATGGACACGCGTATATAGAAAATATCAGCGAAGTCCTACTCACTTCCTTCTCGCACTACGGGTGTTGTTTGCCAAATTGAGAGGACGAAAGGCTAATGTCCGGCGCTTTAACTGGGTTGATGGACACGGAGAGTTGGAAAACCCTGATTCCAAACTAATGGTGTACATGGGCTCCAGTATCCTGAGGAAACAGATGGCGTATGAACCAATCGTTGGTCACCAGCTACCATGTGACTGCATCTCCTTACGATGCTCCACTGCCTTCCAGATCAGACCTTTAGGTCGAAGGCTCCAGGCGTGACCCTCTAAGAAAACCACCTGCTTTCGTTTGGACACTCGGGCAGTGTCCCAGCCCTCACACAAATCAAATGAGATTTGTGTGGTGCATATTTATCTGGTACCCCCTTGTACCAGTCTTTATGTGTTCAAATAAATAAATAAATAAAACGTTCAGGTTAGACATGCAGTGGAAAATAACCTGAGTTGATCAGATGGTGAGATTGTGAAAATTTGTCGAATTAGATCGCTGAAATGTATTTTATTGACTATCAGTAGACGACAAAAGCAATTAATTAGTGTTTATTTACATTATTAATGTTATATTTCAAACCCTGTGACAATCGACGAATCGCAAAACCCTTTGTTACACTGGTGGACACAAATGAATATAACAATTATCTAACATTCTTTTCTCTTCGCATCGATTCCATTCAAATCTACACCATTCAACTTCATCCTGAAAAAATAGTGAAATCACTTTGTTACGCTCAAACTAATTTATTTATCCAGGAACTGATTACAACCCTTACCCCCTCTCTCCATTGACAAGTGGACTGAGGGGCACGCTAATAGGTGTAGACAACTAGGTTGGGGTCCGCATGATTATCGTAACCAGTGGTTAGAGACTTTCAATGACACGGCTGAAAATCATTCGCAATAGAGCAAGTGGATTGATTGTTTGTCTTCCCTCAGATTCTAAGCTTCCGAAGTATTTTTCATCTAAATAGAGCAAGAACAAACATTGATGCAGAATAGTATGAATTCATATTATTTCGAGGTTTCTCGTCAGCTGCTTACAAACCAAAATTGTGATAGAATTTTTACATGGAGATAGTGTGAAACAATTGACAGAAATGAGTGTAAATAACGTGATTACAATAATAACTATATATATATGCTAGAAACAGGTCAGAGGTCAAAAGAGGGGAGTTAATCCAGGGTGGGTGGTGTAATAATTTAGTGAAGTTCATAAATTGTGTGATAATTGTAGAGATTAATGGAATTAAATAATGATAAGGTAGATTACGTAATAATAATTAAATAGGGTTTGGAAAGTTGAGATGATTTAAGAGGATCAGGTGACGGAAATGTGTGAATAAAATTTATTTTAAGAATCAGGTAATAGGGGGGAGTATAAATTATCTTAGAATAAGTAAATGAATAAAATAACCAAAACACAAAACAAACAGAAACAAAAAGATTACCAGGGTAGTGATAAGTTTATTAAAGTCTCTTTTTGGATGCATAAGTCCGGTTTCAGTTTCTTAATTGCAATGGCTTCAGCAAAGCGGAGTGAATTTATGTTATCTCGAATCGTATCTTCGATGACTAGTCTTTTCAATCATCACTTATATTGTACCTACCTCCACTACTTTTTAATTTGCTCTGACAATTGCATTTCTCTGTGCAAATGGAGTATAACAACTTAAACTGATGTATATACATACATACCAGGTCCTAGGTTATGTTTAACTTGATTCACTGGTCACCTCTATACAATTTGAAGCTAGTTACTAGTATCAGTTCTTTTTTACTGATTTACATGGCTTTGAGTAATACTGTGTATGAACACTAATCATAATAAGTCGATTAGATTACCATTATTCTTTACAACAAATTTGAAATGAATAATTACAAAAGTGAATTAACACTTTACTTACCAAGTGAATTAGCAAATTTTTCTACAGGTAGATCTTTTGCATTGAACACATTCAATAATTCATTAGATTGTTGTTGTTGTTGTTTTTGTTTAGTTGGATTTCGTCTAGCCATTAAACAATAATCGCGTAGATAAGCAGTGAATGCTAATCGTGCTGATTGAGTTAATTCCAGTTTACGTGCTAATAAACTTGATGATTCTTTAGAAACTCTTCGTTGTAACTTTGATTCAGGAAATCTATACAGTAATAATAATAATAATACTAAATTAATTACTAAGCATTTGTGAAGCATGAATAATAGACAGTGAGGAACAGACGATAAACATTTGATTTTGTGGCTTTGGATTTTCCCACTTGAGGTCAACGTAGAACCCATAACATATTAGTTTGTTGGACCCAGTTTCGATCTCATAATAACACAATGAAATGAAATGCAAAAAATGTAATAATAATAAGGTTGTTGAATGCGCATATATTTGCAAATCTTTCTCAATTTTCTTCTCTCTCTCCCAGTCCATGTCGTCCCATGACATTTTCATATCCGGTGTTGTCCATTCCGATCTTGGAGTTTATATTTCCCATCAGGATGGTGAGGTTCTTAATTGGGCACTTCGAGGTGGTTGATTGCAGCCTCTCATAGAACTGATCTTTATTGTCGTCGTTGTCACCATTAGTGGGTGCATAACATTCATTGTGATCCCCTTGTTTTTTTTGTTTTGAATGATACTTTGATGATTCTGGATCCGTGAGATCTTTATCCAACAAGGGTTGGATGGAGAGTGCTGGTGGGCGGACTATGCTCCTCCACGAGGAGTAACAGGATTAAGTAAGTAAGTAAGAATGACTGAACGAATAGAATATAATACGAAAAGACAGTGGAAAATATGTATGAAAGTTTACTGAAAGCAAAGAACGAAAGAACGTTAAAGTGTGAATGCATCTATTTCATTGTGAACGGTTCTTAACCAATGTGAACTAAAATTCTCAACTGCCGATAATGATTATGGCACAAATCCCAAATAAGTCGTCTGGATATCCTAATATGACTCAGACTAACAGTTAGGCACTTTTTTGACTGATGCCATGTGTTAGTTTAGCCGCAATTTAACAAGTGTATACGTGAATTGACTTAAATGTGAATAGAGATAGATGGCAGCTAGCAGTTGAATCCAGGACGCATACTTCGTCCTGTTCCATACTCGCTAGCTGGATGCACCTACATCCCAACGGATAACACGATGACGTTCCAAACGAAAGATAATGGATCCGAGTCCTGCGTTGAGTATCGACTCTGAGATGCAGGTCAAACAAAGAGAGGCTACAGATATGTGATGGGTAGGACAAGGAATTTACACATATACGCTCATATAAAAATAGTCAGGGTTAATAATACTAATAATAATTGCCAAGGTCAAAATGTAACTCTAGAAGCTAGAATAACCCATGTGAACTTGACATGGTACTACACACTATAGTGTAATTTTCATAATGAATCGACTCCCTTTGTAATGCATACTTGCTTATTCTACTCGAAATGGAGTCCATGACCTTGAATTCCCATAGTCAGGTAAATTTTATTGAGAAGCTATGATTCTCGGAGGTAGTCACCTAGAAAAGTGGTCAATACTAAATACAAGAATGATGTTGTATATGTAAGTTATTAAGGTATCGACTCAATAGGTGAACAAATGAATGAATGAATGAAAAATCCTAAAGTGAAGTCGTCTACAGACGAGTTTTATAGAAGACGCTCAAAATGAAATATAATAAAGTATTTTGTCTAATATTATTTAAGGATTGCAATAGTTCCCTAGTTATCAGAATGGGTTTTGTGGAGAGTTTTAGAAATTTCACAGGTTCTAGTGAGAAGCCGTTACCAGTGGAGTTCAACCAGGTCTGTTGTGAGATATCAACTCACTGAAGACAATGGTGTACGGTGGCGCAACTTCGTGGGTTGGTTGAAGTTAGAAATTAACACCGTTGGATGCCGGCTCAGCGGTCTAGTGGTTAAGTGCTCGCGCGCGAAGCCAGTAGGTCCTGGGTTAGAGCCCCGCGGGGTGCGGGATCGTGGACGCGCACTGCTGAGGAGTCCCATACTAGGACGAAACGGCCGTCCAGTGCTTTCAGGTTTTTCATGGTGGTCTAGCTTCAATCGGTCCATGATTTCAACCTGCGAAAGTTCCCTAGTTGATATGAAGCTTTGGTAAAAATAGAGGAGAAAACTCCTCATCGAATTCAATACACTTAATGATTAAGCTTGAGTAATTAAAGATGAGTATACATTGATACTAACATATAGCTTACTTTACTAATTTTAATACAACAGAATGTTTAGCAAGTATATGAATTAAATTTTGCTCAGATGGTAATAGAAATAAAATTGATCGACCTATTTGTCCATTTCGTCCAGTTCGACCAATACGATGTACATAATCTTCAGTAAAATGCGGACAATCAAATTGTACAACCCAATGGACATTTGGAAAATCTATGAAAAGACAAACAACAACAACAACGATAACGACGTTGAACAGAATAAAATGAATTTTAATATGGCGAGACTTTAATTTATGGACGAACCAATCAAATTTAAGACAACAGGTTTTGGCGCGAAATTCATTTATCCATTTGTTCAAACAGCATTTTCGCATTACAAAACGGTGAAAACATTAAATCTAATCCTTAGCCCTAACGTTCAACTTTAAATCCTAATTCCTCATATTAATATATAACCCTCACTTAACCATAGTAAGTAGGTGGACATTCTAAGGTCATTTTAGTGTTTCTCAAAGGTCGTTCATAAATTATAGGTCCCACTGAATTAACAATGAATGTTATGAGATATATTTCATGGTACAAATATAATATGCAATGTGATTCATTGAACTCGTAGGAAATAATAACAAATTTTTAAAATAAGAAGCATAAATTCAAGTTAGTGAAGTAAAATATCTTTAGAGTAGTTGAAGATCAACTGGATGACGTATATTTTTATTTATTTATTTGAACACATTATTACTGGTACAAGGGGGTACCAGATAAATATGCACCACACAAATCTCATTTGATTTGTGTGAGGGCGTTGATACTGCCCGAGTGCCCAAACGAAAGCAGGTGGTTTTCTTAGAGGGTCACGCCTGGAGCCTTCGACCTAAAGGTCTGATCTGGAAGGCAGTGGAGCATCGTAAGGAGATGCAGTCACATGGTAGCTGGTGACCAACGATTGGTTCATACGCCACTCATTCCCTCAGGATACTGGATTCCATGTGCACCATTGGTTTAGAATCAGGGTTTTCCAACTCTCCTAGGTGGATCCTCCGTGTCCACCAACCCGGTTAAAGCACCGGACATTCGCTTTTCGTCTTCTCAATTTCGCAAACAACACCCGTGGTGCGAGAATGCAGTGAGTAGGACTTCGCTGACATTTTCTATATACGCGTGGCCATGTGAGAGCATTTGGAGAGGGAGAGCGTACTCTCCCCTTTTTTCGGCCGTATCAGGGCATTTGGGGGCAATCCACGGCTAAATAAATATCTCTCAATGAGAATGAAAGATTGTTGTGCAATATTATGAATGGATTAATATTAGAAATATAAACATCTAAGTGTTAATTTAATGATTTAAAGTTTATAAATGATCGCTTGTTGCGAATTCTATAAGTTATGAATTCAATCTTAAATAGGATGATGCATCTTAATAATAAGCAATACCATACCAGAACAAAACAACCATCGATTACCTTTTGGTTTTTATATCATTTTCCAATATATATATGAATTAATAAAATTCAGTAAACAATAAGAACAATAAAGAATGAATTCAGAACAATTAACATCGTTCTTCTGAACGATATCATCAACACAAACTTCTAGCGTCAACTTCATAGATGAGTAAGATTTGTGAAATTGTGATTGACTTGTAAATATTTGACGTAAGAAAGATAATTTGAATTATTTTTTTGGTTAGCGTTTTTTTAGAGAGTTAGTTTTCTACGGGACATGGTCGCTAACCCCATACCCAACCCTCCTCCTATATCGGGCTTGGGACCGGCAGTCGCCTCAGGTGGAGTTTCCTAAGAAGGATAGCCGTTAATATTTAGAAGACATATATAGGGAAATTGAAATTTCGCTCAAACAAATTAAGTGAAATACTCAACCATATCTATATTGAGATGTTAGTTAGTGTTTGAAGAAAATAACATGATAAACATACACGTACATATATGTATATCATTAATATCTTAAAGCATATTGTACTTACCTAAACCTCGTTCAGCTAAATTAGTAGCTAACAGAACGGAACCATGTGGAGAATTAGCAAAGCGATCATAAACTTGAAAACGTTTTTGTTGATTCATATTACCACGAAGTTGTAAAATTTTAAAATATGGTCTAAGCAATTGAAATAATTCATATGCATATCGAACCTTAATATATAGAAATAGCAAAAACAAATAAACAATTAGTGCATAGTTTGGGGGTGGCCAAACCAAAACGTGACACCATTGCTTGAGATCATTAACGTCTGGTCTGAGCCATGCTGGTAGATGCAAACTACCTGGTTGGGGTTCGCGTGACTACCGTAACTAATGGTCGAAGACTCTGGATGACATGGTTCAGAATCGATCACAAGTACGCGTAGGTGTATACACTCTTTATCTTCCCTTAAACCGTGAGATTAAAATTACTTTATACCTTTCTTTCTAGTTCTCTCTTCCTATACTATATCCTTATATGCAATCTTTCTTTTATATATTACTACCATTGAAGTAACTACTTTCATGAATTTAATGTTCATTTTGTTGTGTTGATGAGGTATGGCAACTTGGACCGATGCATATATGTGCCTGATCCTACACGTTGTAGCTGACTGACCATTACCTTGATTAGTTTGTGCTTATTCCTAAAGTTTATTGATCGGGGACTGGAATCTCATAAAGAATGTAGATGTAATCCATGTAACAATTGTATCCTAATTATATGTGCCTGGTCCTATGTTGTAGCTGACTCACTGAAATTAGTCCACTCAGTGTTCAATATCTTTCAATGTGTGAATTTAAACTGAAATTGAGTTACATAGGTACATTATATCTTGAAGATTGTTTATAATGATCAATTTGAATAGTATTTAATGTTGGAAAGGTTATTGAAACTTTCTAATTGCCCCTTTTAGTAAAAGCCAATATCCTTTTGTGAGACAAGAAAAAAGGAACTGGATTAGCATTGAAGGTCTTTTCGATTTAACAGTGACTAAAAAGTCTAAAAAGTAACGTCTTGAGACACGTAATGCATAATTTTTAGGTAAATGATTATTTTTGCAGTATTAGATCCATACTTTCTAAAACTTGCCGCAGGGACCTCAAATTCGTGTAAAAGTGAAGTGTGCGCTATTTTAAGAGCTGACATTTTCTAGAGGTTAGGGGTTCATGAACGAAACCGAATGTTTTGATTTCAATGAGATTTTCTAATCTATTTTTTCCTTGGTAGGAAGGCAACAACGTTGAAGATACTATTTGCCCGTGGTGAATACCTGACTTCTGCTAAACCCTAGTACAGTAAGTGATATGATTTCGCCTCTGGACCTTAACTTCAGAGAATAGTTAAAAATCTCATCCTGATTTAAAGTAGACGCTATTGATGTTATTTAAAAACGACAATTATAATTTTGTAATTCATCTATCCAGCTTAGAGAATGCAATACCACCCAAGATATCAACTTAAAATATGTATGAAACTTCTCTATCATTTTAAAATTTTACGAGATTGTTTATTGTCAGACAAGGTTTACATTTTCCTTGAAAATAGTAAATTGCAGATAAATTTATGAACACCCTCTATGATGAACTCAAAAAGTAATATACAGTAATATCGACAATAATATGTTTGCAATGATGGATATCATTTTACATAATTGCACAGCCCCAAAATGCTCTGATATGGCCGAAAAAGGGGAGATTCATCTCTCCTTCTCCAAATGCTCTCACATGGCCACACGTATATAGCCTCTGTCAGGAACGTCCTAATCACTGCATTCTCGCACCATGGGTGTTGTTTGCGAAATTGAGAGGATGAAAAGCAAATGTCCGGTGTTTTAACCGGGTTTAGTGGGCACGAAGAGTTTACCTAGGGGAGTTGGAAAACCCTCATTCCAAACCAACGGTACATATGGACTCCAGGATCCTGAAGGGACAAACGGCATATGTTGGTGGCCGGCTATCATGGGACTGCATCTCCTTACGATGCCTCATTGTTTTGAGGACCAGACCTTCAGACCTTCAGATCGAAGGCTCGGGGTGTGGCCCCCTAAGAAGACGACCTGCTTCGGTCTGGGCACTCAGGCAGTATCACCGCCCTCACACAAATCAAATGAGATTTGTGTGGCATATATGCATTTGGTGCCCCATTGTACCAGTATTAATGTGTTCAAATAAATAAATAAATACAGACCTGTTATACACTCTTTTATAGAGAAAATCAAGATACTGACAGTGTTAACTACTGAGAATATATACTAACAAGCACATTTATCATTTATCAGTATACTGATTTGTAGAGGTAGTTTTTTGTGAACATAAAATTGATGGATGACATTTACTAATCGGTAATATACTGTTAACACAAACGAAATATTCATGTAATCTTTTCCAGAAGGAGATATCATATGTAGATACATGTACACAGCGAAATGGATGTGAAATATTTTGTTAGCAAAAGAATGAAGATACTTTATTGATAGTAAGATGAAGTTTGAGTAGTTTTCAGAAGATAACTAAAATCAGTGTGATATCTACTAGTTGGCCGAATCGTGATCAATGGAGTAAGATCGAATTACATAAAAGTGGTAACCTATGTATACAACATGCTTACTTAGTTAACTGATAAGATTAGAAATTTTTCTAAAAATATAACAAAGATACTATTTAATTGTGTAAATTACGAAGAGAGTTTTAATCATGAACTGACATCAGATAAGGAATCATTGAAAATTAAAATGCAGTGAGTAGTTATTTCGTTCTAACTTGAGACTCCTAAGAAGTAAGTACTGAAGTACCTAGGTAGTACAACCCTACGAGGAGTCGAAGCCGAGATCGTTAGTTCTTGTAACAAGTACGCCATTTCCCCACAAGTTAGTCAGGAACAAATCATGACCATTTCAAAATATAGTGAATCTGCGATACAATGCGACAGTCATTCAATGCCATCATTCATGACTGTCTCATTTAATAGTACTAGAATGGCACGCGCATGCCAAGAGACTTCGAGAAGCTGTTAGACTTGACTTGAAACTTCCGAAACTAGGTAAAAACATTCATCGAATCCCTTTAGTTTTTTAATAGTTCAAAAGCTAGTTACAACCCAGTGTATGAAGTAAAGTCTCCTCATAAGAAAGAAATATCCTGTCACAACTACTACAAAGATTAAAAAAATATAAGTTGACAACAACAGTACACAGACACATTGACGAACCTGTTTTTGTGTTGAAAAAAACACAATGATCTTCTTCTTACAATGACTTTGTAGAAATGTCCACAATGTATCCAACTTTTGTTCTAATGGAACTATGGCATAATATTGAAGTAGTTCAGATGGTGTGTGTAATTCATTTGATAAAGTTGTATTATTATTGGTATTGTTAATATTATTATTGACTGATACAGTTATTGGATTACGCATACTAAGACGAATAAGTTGATCTGTAGCCCTATGATAGTTGAGGAAGAAAATAAAGGGAAAAAGGATCAAAAAAACAAGAAAAGTAAAATTAATTTGTTGAAGATATGAAGTGAAACAGAGTAGATTGCTTTATAGTATACACACGTTATTATTACATGAAGATCTCATATACCTAAAAAAAGGGGTTCAAGTTAATAGGACTTTTACAGTATTTTTATTAGCTCCTGTGAATGAAACTTTTAAGATAAGTGAAATAATCAGAGTATTCAACTGTTTCACCTCCTATTATCAGATTGAGTGTTGATGTAAACTCATGTTTTGAAGTAATATTTTATATTTATATGAAACAAAAATCATTCGTCAGGAATTTTTTGAACGATACTTAAGTCGTAATAAGAAGGGTAACGACGACTTTCATTCCTTTCTGATTGGTTGTCGCTACTTTTAGTTCATTAATTTTCTGGGTGTTCGAAGGTCATGTTCTTGTTATTATGTAATACTGAGTTGTACTATTTCTAAGTGTCCTGTTTGAATATCACATTTTTCCTACATGTTTTCTTATTCCTATGTAAGCAGCTAACTGTTAAAATGTTGTGTGCCAGCTACCATTATCGAGTTCTTGATAGAACCATCTATGTTAGACTAACCGGAAACCATGTTTGGTGAAGACGCTGATAAAATGCAGATTTTTGGTAGCACTAAGCAACAATGCCAAAATGTTTGGAATGCGCTTCTCCCCCTCTAAATGCAAGTTGTTGCTTCAGGACTGGTCTGCGTCAACACCTGAACTAAGGATAGGGAGTGAAGTAGTCGAACGCGTTGACAACTTCACTTATCTAGGAAGTCTGGTCAGCCCTAATGGGTTGGTGTCTGACGAAATCTCAGCACGGATTCGAAAAGCTCGCTTGGCTTTTGCCAACTTACATCACCTATGGTGAAGGCGAGATATCCGTCTATCAATAAAAGGACGAGTATACTGCGCGGCAGTCCGTTCTGTTTTACTTTGCGGCAGCGAAACATGGTCATTAAGAGTAGAAGACACCAGTAAGCTACTAGTATTTGACCACAGATGCCTTAGAAATATTGCTGGCGTCTGCTGGGATCACCGGGTAAGTAATAGTGAGGTTAAACGCAGGGTATTAGGGAATGATGGTAAATCAGTTGATGAGGTTGTGAATCTTCATCGACTGAGATGGTTGGGCCACGTGTTACGTATGCCTGAACACCGATTACCATGACGTGCAATGCTAACCGGGGTAGGGGATGGTTGTAAGAAAGTTAGGGGCGGCCAAACCAAAACGTGGCATCAGTCCACAAAGTCACTAACTTGTAGTGTGAGCCATGTTGGTAGATGCAGACTACTTCGTTGGGGTCCGCATGACAATCGTAACCAATGGTTGGAGACTCTTGATGACATGGCTCAGAATCGATCGCAATGGCTTCGGTGTATACACTCTCTGTCTTACCTTAAACTAAGAGATTAAAATCGCTTCATATCTTTCTTTCTACCAACTAATTCTTTCTTCCTGTACTATATCCTTATTGCAATCTTTCTTTTATATATTACCACCTCTGAATTAACTACTTTTATGAATCCGGTGTCCATCTTTTTGTGTTAATGAGGTATGGCAACTTGGACAAATGCACATATGTGCTTGGTCCTACGTTAAAGCTGACTGACTGACTGAACCGGAAACCCTAATACAAAGTTGTTTTTTCTGAAAATTTGGCATTAAAGGAAGTGACTGTAAATAGGGAGTAGTATGACAACATAAAAAACTCTAATTCTTATTATTCATAAACTTACTTTGTTAAAGTGGCTGAAAACAATAAAGTTTGTCGATCAGGAGTTAAATTTTGAAGAATCACTTCTAAATCATCACGAAATGTTGGATCTAATAATCTATCAGCTTCATCTAATATAAGTAATTTTAAATTAGACATATCAAGAAGAGAATTTTCTGTTTGATGTTGAGCCATTCGACCAGGAGTTCCAATTAGAATATTTGCTCGTGATATACTATTCCATTCTTGATTTTTTAAAGCCTATAAAGAATGAAAAACAATAATAACACTGAATATTAAACAAAAATAAACTTGGTGGTGGTTTGTTCTCTGAGCTCAGAGAACAAACCACCACCAAAATCATCCACCTGAGCTACAAATCTTCTTCACCATCTCAAAAATAAACTTGAAAAATCATATCCTATATAGAAAGTATACAAGTAATCTAACCAGTTAAATTTAAGTTCAATCCAGAGGTATATGGATGAAGGGCTCATGATAGATGAATGAGGTGGTTGATTAATACGGTTTTGGTTATCTATTTATGAGAAAATTTTTTTAATAATGCAATCCTAAGGGTACATATTTAATAGATGTGGATCATTTTAAGGATTTCGTACTTTCCGATAGGTGGTACTTTAATCACTCTTCTTTTGAAAAACATCATCAGAGGACAAACTTCTGATAGAAGTGAACTATTTATGCTTTTCCACACACGACTAACAGTTTATTCTGTCGACTTTAATTGACTGTTATTGATCATTGTCCTGTGATTTTTTGGACAATTATTCCTAATGATTTGATTTTCCTACCAATCCATTTACACTAGATCTAAAAACTTTCCAAATCGAACTTTTGTTCATATTAGTTAATGTGGATTGATATAATCGGAAATACATAGTGACTGTTAACACCTAAATAGTGTTCATTCAAACGAAGATAAACGATGTTTCTACTTTGTCCGATGTAGGTGCTTATCGTAGATGGAATGGTTTAATTTATTAATTCATCCTTGGAGAAAAAGTTGTGCTCAATGACTTGACTATGATAGAAATTAATGAACTTATCAAACAAAACATTATTACGAGGATACTCAGTCACATATTTTACCAAAAAACTATCAGTTCAGTAGATGTGCTCGTATTGTAACGTGATCTGTTTATTTATTTATTTGAACACATAGATATTAGTAAAAGGAGGCATCAAATACATATGCGCCACACAAATCTCATTTGATTTGTGTGAGGGCTGGGATACTGCACGAGTGCCCAAGCAGAAGCAGGGCGTTGCTACTGCCCCGGTGCCCAAACAGAAGCAGGTAGTTTTCTTAGGAGACCACATCCGGAGCCTTTGACCTAAAGGTGTGCTCCACAAGGAAGTGGAGCAACTTAAGGAGATGCAATCACATGGTAGCCAGTGACTAATAATTGGTTCATATGCCGTTTGTTACCTTAGGGTACTGGAGTCCATGAGCACGATTGGTTTGGAATGAGAGTTTTTCAACTCCCCTAGGTGGACTCTCCGTGTCGACTAACTCGGCTAAAACACCGGACATTCGGTTTTCGTTACAGTAATTGGTTTTTTATCTGAGGAGTAGATCTATATTATTTATTCTGATGCTAGTCCTACTGGGAACAATTTGAAATTGATAAATCGAATTAGGGAGTATTTATTTTGATTGGGATTCGAATGTCATATTGGATACATCTGAAACTCTAGTGTTGAGAGTTGCACATTTTAATCCCTAAAAGTGTATTATTCTCCTTGACATTAGAAATTTGTCATATAAATGGTCATCAACATGTAAGAATTTTAAGTTTAGAGATTTCGGTCAATCTCATTTAACCATTAAGTAGCTTTGTCATTAATGACTGTGAGAAACACTAGCTTAAAAAGTGCACTAACAGAAATTATGATAAGTCCATCCTGAGTACACAGATTTCAATAAATTGACTTTTGGAAAGAAGTAACAAAGTAAATTATGTAATTCGGTAGTTGAAAGTAGTCAACAGGAAATCTTGAACTCATCTTTCGTGCTATTTGGTATTGGTCAACAAGGTGTACCTTTGATATTGAGGGAACTGATTTTTTCTGGAGGATTCGGTCCCGCGTTACTCAGATTCACAGTCAGAGACGTTACCACTGAGCTATTCAATTTTAAGTGTAGCTCAGTTCAATAGGAGGCTATTTGCGGCTCAAAAAGACCATTGATAACTCCTTTGACTGTGAAGCAGAGTGATGAGAGATCGAATCCGCCAAAACTCATCAATTCCCTCAATATTACAGGTACACCTTGCTGATGAGTGCCAAATAGCATGAAGATTGAGTCCAAGGTTACCTGTCGATTACCTCCAACCACCGACTTACTTCCCAACAATGTACGCGATATCGAGCCAGACTAGTGATCATATTGCAAGTCGATAGATGAAATTTGCTCAACACTAAGAAAGACTTTATATACATTACATTGGTGACTTTTCAGCAATCAATCAATTGCAAATATAAATTATCTATGAAGAACCTGTTTATATACTCGAATTTAAGCCATATTGTTTCAATGAGTACTAATGATACTATACGGTTGCTTATGTTAAATTAAGTGGATCGAATTCAACCCTGTAACCTATTTGATAAAACACGAGTACTTCCACTATTTCACTACTATTCATACATGTAGTACTAGGATGTGTTATCATTCAATTCAAAACTAAAGAATAGAGAAACAAGGATCTGGGTCGAATAAATTTCGTTTACATGATAGTTAAACCCTTTTGAAATATAATACTCTCTTCTAACTTGATGATTCCTATTCGATGCATAATGCTGAAAAACCAAACCTACCGAGACTTTGCCGCCCATAATGTTCATCATAGTGAAGTGGTGTTCACGAGCAATTTTGGCAAATACGCTGAAAATCTGTCTTGATAATTCGCGAGTTGGTGTTAAAATTATGGCGACTGGACCATCAAACATGGAAACTTTGCTTTGATGAAGAAGTTCAAGCACAGGGATTGCAAAAGCAATCGTCTTGCCACTACCAGTAGGTGCTTCAGCAACCACATCTTGTCCAAGAAGGGCAGGTTTTAAGACTAGCTTTTGAATTGCAGTAGGCTTTGTGTAACCTGACAATTTTAACCCCTTCAATGTTTCTTTAGACAAAGGAAACTGTGTAAAGAAATTGCATTTGGATGTGTCTATCTAAAATGCAGAAATATTTTAATATTGAAACAAAAACTTACACTTTGAAGACGTTCGTTAGTGGAGGACTGAGGGTTAGAGTCACGAGTCATAAGTAGGGAATTTTCGGTTTCTAAGTAATATTAGAAGTGTATGACAAATCTGCTCCGGCTACTGTTTTTCAACCTACAGTCGATAATAGCAAGATGAAAATACCATGAATTAAAGTTAACTGAGCACAATAAAGTACACCAATAAGCTCAAACCAGACTAATATTTTACATGGTTATTGAATAAGATACACAACATATATTATAGAACTAATGAGCATTTAAATAAAGTGTGAGGGACAAAAATGAAGTCAAGACACATAAAACTAGAGGCAAGCATAAAAGAATAAGAAAACAAATTAGTTTATGCGCCCCAAAACTATCCCCTTTATCGTTATCGATAACACACCCCATGAGAGTGGGATGTGTGAATTAGTTAGTTGCAGTTTGAAATTCAAAGAACAACAGCTGATGAGTGGTTTAGTCTACCTCAGTCCAAACTCTGAGGTGAATGATGTCTTGCTAAAGGGTTTCAACACTTAGTCATCAAGTGGTCTATGATTAATCTTAACAGGTCTAAATGCACCTACAATAGACTGGGAAAATCTGAGGACTATGATGTCAGAAAATTCCTTCGAACAGAAAGTAATTGACGCAGTTATCACATATGTCCTAGTGCAACATGTGAAAGAAGCAAACAAGTAACACCTAGACTCTGAATCATCCTTACTAGACCTCATATTGGCATATTATGAGGATGACGTAACAAATCTTCATTATACGCCACCCTTAAGTTAGGGTGACCACAAAATTCTAGTCTTTGATCTCTATATTGTTGTCAACAACAATGAACTAGAGAAATGATCTGAATGGTCTAAAACTTGACAGTTATTGATAAGTGATTCTAAGTGCATTATGGTGCATATTGGTCACCAAGGTATAACTACACACACTGTGAAAAGCAGTGTTTTTTTCTTTATTTGAACACATATTTCTTAAATTTTTCAAATTGTTTTATTTTTAGATCATTTTAAATATAATCGTCTAAAAGACTCGTCATCGACGTGACTATATGAAAATTTTCATTTTTGACGTTTAGCATATATTAAGAAACAGACAATGTGATATTGGTTAGTAACCGGTTAGGTGAAGAATAATTAAGTCAGATCATGTGATGAATATTATAGATTTCGGTTACTCAATTAAAATAGATAGAATCATATTTCAACCTCAATCAATTTTTAAAACTTTATATTTATTTATTTGAACACATGAAAAATGGGTACAAACGGGCACTGAATACATATACGCCACACAAGTCACTTGATTTGTGTGTGTTGTGATACTGCCCGGGTGACATACGAAGCTGGTGGTTTTCCTAGAGGGCTACACACAGAGCTTTCGACATAAAGGTCTGATCCACGAGGCAGTGGAGCAACGTAAGATGTGAGTGACCAACGATTGGTTTATATGACATTTGTCCCGTCAGGATCATGGAGCTCACGTGCACCATTGGTTTAAAATATGAGTTTTCCAACTCTCCTAAATGGACCCTCCATGTCCGCCAACCCGGTTAGGGCACCGAACATTCGCTTTTTGTCCTTTCGATTCTGTAAACAACACCCCTGCCACGAGAAGTCAAAGTAGGACTTCCCTGACATGTTCTATATACGCGTGGCCATGTGAGAACGGACTCCCCCACCCTCGGTCGTACCAGGGCATTTGGGGCTTTGAATTACCTGTTGTCCAGTCACATAATGACCCAGGAGTCATTGTTAGCCAAAACTTAAAAACTACTGCACACTGCCATTCGATAGCTGCCAAAGATTTCAGATACTTGTGGTTAATATGTAGAGCCATCAGCCCTGTCCATACTACAAACTTTCAGAACTCTATACAGTGTTTGCATGTCTTAAACGTGATTACTGTATACAAGCGGCCAGCCTCTGACTAAAAAAGACGGCGAGTTTTTGAAAAGGGTTCAAAAAACGGCAACTAAGTTGATCCAGTGAATCATAAAGCTCCCATAGGTTGGTAAACTGGACAAATTAAAACTTCTCTCTGTGATATAGAGGGTTCAGAGGAGACCCAATTAGTTTTTAAACTACTTAGTGATAAATATGCATCTGATATACCCCAACATTTTTTGTCTTCCAAAACAGAGAATCTATGAGGACACTAAAAATGTTCACAAGCCCAGAACAAATTACTTTTCAGCTGACTATCGAATTTCCGATCGAATTATCAACGAGTGGAATTCATCAACTCAATACATGATTGAAGCTCCACTTGTCGATACTTTCAAAAGAAAGTTGGACCATCTGAAAGACCACCATTGCAAAGACTAACACAGGCCACTCGGCTTCCTTTTCTTTCCAAATTGAAACCAAAACCGCTTCATTGATAGTTTTTTAAGCTCTGGTATGTGTTATAACGGAAGTAACTAAAATGTTTAAACTTAATGCAAACAACGTCAGTGTCTATGTAGGCAGATGCATTTGACTTTCACTCATTCATTTATTCATGCTAATGAACATTTTATTTATTTATTTATTTTAACACATAGATATGGGTACAAGGAGGCACCAAATACATATGCGCCACACAAATCTCACTCGATATGTGTGAGGGCTGTGATACTGCCCGGGTACCCAAACCGAATCAGGTGGTTTTCTCAGGGGGCCACACCCCGAGCCTTCTACCTGAAGGTCTGATCCACAAGGCAGTGGAGCATCGTTAAGAGATGCAGTCCCATGGAAGCCGGTGACCAACAATTGGTCCATACGCCATTTGTTCTAGCAGGATACTGGAGCCCATGTGCACCATTGGTTTGGAATCCGTTTAAAGCGCCGGACATTCGCTTTTCGTGCTCTTAATTTTGTAAACAACACCCGTGGTGCGAGAACGTAGTGAGTAGGACTTCCCTGGCATAGGCTATGTACGCGTGGCCATGTGAGAGCATTTGAAAAGGGAGAGCGAACTCTCCCCATTCTCGACCGTACCAGGGCATTTGGGGGCACGCTAATGAACAGAATTCATATGTAGTTTTTTCCCGAGTTGTGGAAAAAATCCCATACGATGATCATGGACAGATCGGTATGACAAAAAACATACAAGACACTAATAACCATAATCATAATGATTCACAGATAGGCTAAAACTCATAAATAACAAGTCGTAATCGTATGTAGCAACTGAGACATGTGATACGTAAGTCATTTGCATCTATCATGTTTGACTATGTGTGTTTTGTTGGAAAAATGTATGAATTTCGTTTTAGAATTTTCCGCTCTTTTAGCCGAACAATTCTAAAACCCATATAACTAATTGGATTTGATTGCTTTTGAAATAATACTATGATATGAATCTGGATCATACTGAACGAAATTTGTTAATTATATGACAGACTGATTATCTGTTAATTAACTGTCTCATACAGCGAGTAACTTACATTAATGTCCTAAAGACGAGCCTGAAGTAGTCCCAACCTCTGAAACACGAGTTGTGGAGGGTAACGTACTATCCAAAACCACCGGGCTTCTAAAATTGCTACATTAAGTCGCAGTTCATGTTTATTACAAAATAAACTTCAAAATCTAAACAAGAAGATCCTGCTGGAGTAACGTAGTCCGTTTATTTTTTCGACACCTACATATCAAGTTTTCATGAAGTTTAAAATACTTGTTGTGTGATGTATCAGTGGTCTGTATATGTAGAGGGAACCATGGATAATATGACACGACATGACTAAATCTCCCTTAACCATTCTACACTTTATTGACTGTAAACTGGGTGAAGATCGACCCTGTTAGGATCCCTCAAGAAGTCTCAGAAGCAAACATAATCCTTGTAGTAATGTCCCAGGCAGATAATCCGGCTGCATCTGATAATTACCGGGAGCTCTTCCAACTCATCCGAGCCACTGGCAGCAAGGATTCTGATGTAAGCGAAACAATCCATAAGGATGATGGGATGCCAATCACTAACATCCATCGACGTCTTGGACGATGGGCAGAATTTTTCGAAGGGCAGTTCAACTGGCCTGCTGCTCCGGCAACATCGATCAGACTGTCCTGGCCTCCGTGGCCGGTGACGACTGATCCACCAACCGAGGAGGAAGTCCGCAAGGAATTCCAACTCTTGAAGCGTTACAAATCACCTGGCCCAGATGACTTACCTCCGGCTCTTTTTAAAGATGGTGGTGTTGACTTTCTGACTAAGGAATTGACGACGTTGTGTACAAAGGTTTGGGAACTAGAGAGCGTACCAACGTCATGGAATGAGTCGATAGTTGTCCCTATCTTTAAAAAGGGTTCACGTTGTTCCTGTAACAACAATCGGGGGATAAATCTACTTCCGATTGCGTCCAAGCTATTGGCTTCCGTCATACTTCGTAGGCTGTTCAAAACCCGAGAAAGATTGACTCGGGAGGAGCAGGCTGGGTTTCGTTCTGGTCGAGGATGTATTGATCATATCTTCACCCTCCGCCAAATGTTAGAACACCTCCATACTTATCAAAGGCCAACAATCGTAGTGTTTCCTGACATCAGAGCTGCCTTCGATTCGTTGGATTGGACTGTTCTCTGAGATTGTCTATTGAAGAAGGGTTTGCCTGAGAAGTTCATTAATATCCTAAAGCCTCTGTACACAAACACCTCAGGCAGAGTATGCTATGCGCTTTGCACCTTCGAAGTGAAGAATACTTCTACAAGACTGGCAGGATTCTAACCCTGCACTCACTATGGATGGTGAGCAGATAGAAGTATTCGAGACGTTCGTGTATCTGGGTAGCTGCATAAGTGCTGGTGAGGGTGTGAGTGATGAGATCAATACACGCATAGTGAAAGCCAGAACGGCTTATGCCTATCTAGGCCACCTTTGGTGCCTTCGTGATGTTAGTCTAGCTGTAAAAGTTCGGATCTACAACGCGTCGGTGAGAGCAGTTCTGCTCTATGCTTGTGAAACCTGGCCTCTCCGAGTTGAGGATGTTAGACGACTTTCTGTGTTCGACCATCGTTGTCTCCGAAGGATTGCTGACATCCAGTGGCAACACCATGTCAGTAATGCAGATGTTCGGCATCGTGTGTTCGGGCACAAGGACGATAATGCAATCAGTGTCAACATCTTGAAACACCGACTTCGGTGGCTTGGACATGTTCTCCGAATGTCGTCCCAGAGAATTCCACGTCGTGCATTATTCGCCGACTCTGGGAATGGTTGGAAGAAGCGGAGAGGTGGTCAGTGTATGACATGGTGTCGGGGTATGAAAGAAAGCCGCAAAGGACTGGCTTGTGTTGGTCCCACACGACTCCCTGGTTGGGGTCCGAGAGATGGCGCGACACAGTGGCTAGAGACGTTATCAGATATGGCTCAGAATAGAAGCCAGTGGCGATCCTGCTGTAACCTTCTTTTACTTTCTTCATAAAAAGTGGTTGTCTTCTTTAACTGAAAGATTTCTTCTGATGGTAGTTTTCTGCTCCCCATTTTTACCACTATTATTATTATTGAATAAAGCCATTAATAATAATATTAATACACCACCTTACATCAATCTCTTCGTAATTATTCTCTCTTTTTTTCCTTCTCCTTAAATTCTCATTGGTTTGTGTGGCGCACATATAGTTTGCGCATTCTTGTACCAATACAGGTTTGAAGCTGTGTTGAGACTCCGAGAAAATGGGTTTCACGAGGCCGTTTCGAGGAGGTTTATCAGTAACTAGACTCTTCTTCATTGGTACCTCCTTTATGTAATGGTACATATATCCACTTAGAGTCAGAATGTAGTTTACCCCGGGCTAAAGAACCTAAGAAACGAGTATAAAAATGGAAGGTAATAAGGTCGGCGTATTCTCAATAGGTTGCTAGTTCAATACTTATTCAAAGGCCTTGGAATAACTTTGAATTTTAGAAGTTTGGACTTTGAAAAGTGCAGTGCGAAGAGTATTTTTGGACAGAAGTATTACAAACCGGAGGTCATCGGAATGAAATTTCTCAGCTGACAACCAATTAACCCAAATATTACAACTATATGTTCTTAAGAAATCTAGATCCAGGATAGTTGACGTGGTATATGGCATCTTCTTCATAAAGTTGTATAAAGAACTGTATTTATTTTCTATAGAATACATAGGACGAGAGTGATGATTTGTTCTACCCCCATATATATTTTGAGTTCAAGAATTACATAAAACCCTGTATGGCCAGTCGTCTCTGCAACTGGAAGGAAGCCATTCTTTTCAGAAAACATGCCTGTTCCTGATATGTCCGCGAGAAACAAAACTTTAGGCAGTTGGATTATCTTGGTGTTTACGTTTATCACCAGTCCAGGAGGTTAGCGATCTGCGGACCGTAGGACGTTTTTAAGAGGAGCCCGCCGTTCGCCAACCCTTTCGAGGCTTTCTCTAACAGCAGTGTAACCAGTTTAGCGAATGATTTTCTATGTAGTCCATTCATCAGGTAAACCAATTCCTGTGAGGCAGAATGATGTGGGGGAATTATCATTTTGAAATAAGAGGTTCATTACTAGTCGATCACTAAATTCCGATGAGTGATTGATGAAGATGTGATACAGCCTAGTAACGGTTCGTTAGGTTCCTCCTAGATATACTGGACTATTATTCTTGAAAATCTGAACTTTTATTTCTGGTACTTAATATGATATTAATCATCTGAAGATCCTGATCTAAAGAGTGGGGATTTACAAATCGAAATCACCCATTGATAATTTCTCGGAGAAATTTATTTCCAGAGCTCCTCTATGTGCCTGAAGGAATGAACTAATCCGAAAGTAACAGTCTCCAGGTAATCTAAAAACTACACCTATCGGACAAGAACTGTAAGTACTCTTTAAACTATACCTTAAGGTATGAGAGTGACTTATTCTAGGAGATAAGATTTTGTGAGTCTCGAGAGAGGTAGGTCTGTAAAACAAGGCCGACAACTAAAAGTGTCAGATCTATATTTAAGTAGCGGCCAGAAAGCGTCGAGAGATAGTTTGCCTTTTGTGATGTCACTAGTAAGCCAAGCTTTTCCGGAAAGCATTATACTTGCTCTATTCATTTACTAATTTTCCAAATTTAACCTACTTACATTATCGCATGAGCAGATAGTAGGAAAGGAAGAAATTCAGAGTTGGACAAATATGAGGCTATTCACACCGGGAAGGGTGTCGGTAATTGCCAAATCGGCCTTTAGTGGGTTGGTTTCCATGGGTGTATCGTGGTGTTGAGGTTCCATTGATCAGTATGAGTTGTGACAATCAAGCCGGGGTCATCAGAAGTAACTGGAAAGAAGTAGATGTCGAGCTCCTTGATAGTGAGTTGTTCACTAACAATTTGCGGGATGGATGGGGGAACATTTTTTAACATTACGATAAGTTGCCTGGTAAGTCTCAGTCTGCCCCCACGAATCACAAGGACTTTCGAGAATGTTCAAGATTTATCATACCAAAATTCATGCGTGGTTGTCACTGTATGAGTGTCTACTGTTATGTTGAATCAGCCAGATATTGGGCAGTATAATCTATTCGAAATGGACCACCATCGGTCTACCTCAGGAATCAGGCTAATTTCAATAGATTTATTTAAAAATTCAGAGTCCTTTTGAACTATAATTAAACATTTTCAGCCCCCTTTGTTCAAGCAAGAATGACACCTGAGTGGTCACACAACTGACCATGGTTCATCAGGTTGCATTCTAATGGTAGAGTTCGCTTGTAGATAATAAATGGGTACTCTGAAGTATCAAGTCTATCTAATATGGTTTTAAATTCCATACACTGATATCAGAAACACTTCTGAAGATAGACTATTGAGGGTCAGACACTTAACTGTATGTTGGCCTTCCTGACTACAGCTGATGAAATCCCCATCACAGGAAGGCTAATTATACTGAACAGAAATGCTTTAGAATGTCAGGTTACTCCTCTTACTTTTCCTTTGCGATTGCGATATTGAGCCTGAAAAGTTTGGGGTTAGTTTTCAGTATACCCGGGAAGAGATTTGAGAGCTGATGAGTTCGACTAACATCTTCAAAATGAAATCACATAAGCTAGAACTGGTTTCTGTACCAATTTTTAATCCTCGAATATAAACATGCGTACAAGTCCTCGTGGAATGAACCTTGAAATTGCTCCATGTAGTTCCCTGGAAGCTAAGAGGGATAACAGGAGCGACACACAGTGACCAAAATGTGAGTACGTTGTCTGAGTGCAGATCATCCACCAAACTAGTTATTAGATGAGGCTTAACTAAGCTCTACGGCATAATGCACGAAGTCATTTGAAGCCACTGGTATCTAATTATATCAGAACACAAACTTTGTGCCTATTTACTAGAGTTCTAAGATAAAAACCTATTTATATTAAAAATACAAAGTACTTTAATAGTTCAAAGTTGCCCTGACGCAAATAGCGTCTAATAATCTACAGGAATACTTTCAGCAAAACTTGATAAGTTGTACAAAACGGGTTCAAGAGAAGAATATTTAGAAATAGAAAGTTATGGTTATACGAATCATGATCAGAACTTAAAACTTAGGGAAAGGCGAACGATTGATAATTCTTTTACGCAATGAGGTCGTTTGAAATACAGACCTAGATTCAAGGAGCAGGAACTGCTGGAAAGGTCTTTATAGCATACTGCACAGATGACGTTACCAAATGGCGTTTATTTGTAAATA